GCGAAGGTAGTGCGAGTGCTGTGGTCACCTACAGCGCCCGAGGTCCCACGATCGTCGCGTTCCTCACGTGCCAAGAACTTGGCACGGAGATCCTTGAGACTCGCATGTACACGAATCGTCGTGTACCCGTTTAGTTCGCGGTCGCTCAAGCGCGCCGCACCCGGAAGACACAACGTGCACTGATGGCCTTCGGGCACAGCGCATGGAATACCAGCGTCCACAGAGGATCTGTGGAGCTGCTCCAGCCTCCCGCGCGTCGAGAATGTCTCGCAGCGCTCACGGGCATGCTTAACCCGCTCGCGGTAAGCAGCCGGCTTCTTGTTGAAGTTCTCAACAAAAGCATTCCAACTTTGACAAAGTGCCTGCCACTCAGGCACTTTGCTGCGAGAAGAGGTCTTCTTGCTGGAAAAGTATCGGAGCTCGTGAAAGAGTCCGATATAGTAATCGCGCCTTTGATTCGTTAACGGATCAAAGTGCTGCTCCTCCGCAACAGCATCGTCGTGGATACCGCTGCATACGTACAGCGGGATTTTGTTTGGAGGCACAGTGTTGCCCACACGGTCTGCGATCTCTGACGCAGACGGCATCAACGGATCGCGCGCTGCCTGAGAAGCGCGCGGATAGCTTGAAGTCGCCACATCACGTGGAGAGCTTAAAGCCCCAGCAGCAGAGAGCGGAGTTTCGCTCTCGCCGCGCGAACGCTTCGAGCTTGAAGCGTCCGAATCGTCTCCTTCACGAGGGCGTCTCGACCCGGCATGCGGGTCGAGACTATCACTGTCGATAGACTCCTTGCGCTTGCTGGAAGAGGCCTCCCCCTCTTCCATCTCTACGTCGTCACTCCCATAGTCAACGGCGTCGTTGACTACAGAGGAACCTTCGAGGACAATCTCCGACTGAGTTGTCCCCGACGCGGCCTTTGCAGCGAGCTCGTCGCGCTTTGCCTGCTGGCGCTCATGATACTGAGCAACAGAGAGGTTACCCTCTGTTGCGGCGGCGGTCTTCTTCTGCGGCGAGCTCATTGCGGAGTGAGCTCGAGTTTTCTTTCTCCCAACGTGAAGAATTGACGAATGGTCAATTTCCTGATTGACGTGCCGTGACTCGGCGCGTCTAACCTTAAGGGGGGGATGGTGTAACAGGGTTACACGCACAAGTGGCTACAGTCACTTGTAACTCTAACAGACGTCGTGTCTGTTAGAGGTTCGAAAGACTTTCTCGACCTTGGTGTAGACACACCAAAGGCTACATACAATTACGACCACCACGACGGGTGGTCCATAGAGACTTAGGATTCCTATTGGCTGAGAGCAGCATCTCTTAGCCAATGAGCGACATGCACAGCATAGGAATTCTGCCAACCAGCCGTTGGCAGATTCCTATCTTAGAATATTACATTTAGAGGAAGTCAGAAACATAAAACAAAAATAGCAGTTCTCATTTTAACCCAAAAACATTATTTGGATCGTTTATTTAGATTAATCTATACTCGGAGGCCCGAGTATAATTAACTCTAATTTAAACTAAGTTACGCTTCCTCACATACAAGCGCACACGTGTAAGCTAAAGTAGTGAGCCAAAGTAGGCCCATTACAAAACGTGTCTGCGGCACCAACGCCATCATGGTGGATCAATGCAGCTGTTGTTTGTGGGATAACGGTGGTGGTGAACGTCGCGTTTGTCAAGATACAGGGGAAGGATGTCCTGCTCTCGCAGCAAAAGGCAGAGATTGAGCTGAGCTCCTTGTAGATCGCCTTCGCAAACTGCTACGAGTTGAACGCGTACCTAGCTCTGAATTCCAATCTAGCGCTAATGACACGATTTCTATGAAGTACTGGCTCAAAGAGCAACACTTGCTCGAGTTTATTCAAGACCAGGGGACGTTCGTCAAGAATCACATGAATAGCGTTGCAGATGCCGACAAAAATTCGATTCTGAGGCAGCTTGGCAAGTTTGTACTGCATCTAATTGAAGGTAAGGAGCATGTACAAGCTGAGCGAGACAGCAACAATGACGCTGCCGCATCTCCAACTCCGCCAGTAATACCAGCTGAGCTTGTCACAGTCCCTCCTCGCCAGTTTGCAGAAGATATTTTGAATCCTCGCCGCGATCAATTGGCTTTGTTTTGGAGTAAGGCAAAAATTGAAGCCGTTGAACGGGAGCATCGAGAGCTGTGTCAAGCCAATCTGCTTGATGAGATGGTTCGCACAGCCCTGGAGGAAGAATCCTATGACACCAGCTTCAACGACGCCTGGGATTCAGTGCAAAACGCTGCTGCTCCAAAGATATTTTCACATCTCTGCCAGTTCTGCTGCGGATTGGCAATCGTATTCGCGAATACGGCGTCCGTCGAATCCGATTTTTCCGTATTGAAGTGTGAACTGAACGACCGACGCACTTCGTTGACTTCTCTAGCCCTTGAAGGCATCTTCCAGACTAAACAGTTCGATATGCTAGAAAAATTGTATTGTGCCTTGCAGAGATTTTGCCCTTCGTTTTGACCTCGGATATCGTAGTGGTCGGAAAAGATAAAACCGACCTTAGTAGGGGTAGGTTTAGATAACTATGAGGTCAAGTCGCTGTTTTGCCTCCCCCAAGTTTATCTAAATCCGACCGCTTCGGTGGCTGTGAGCACACGGGCACCTTCCATTTGTGCTACGCTCGCTGCATTCAGATTGTAAGCTTCCTGACCCTGTCTGCTTGCTGCAAGATGCTACCGACAAGTACTAATGCTAACACTATTTACTCATGTGTTTGCAACAGACTGCTGTAGAGATAATGCGATGAAGGAGAGCATTAATGCTGTCCAAGTAGGCGCGTTCCTGTCGCCAGCAAAGCAGCGTCTCGGCGTCAACGGGTGCTCCACCAGGTCCTCACTAGCCTCCTCGGCGTAAGTCACGCCGGCGCCGTTGGTGGAGATGTTGGTGCCAAGGATGGCACGGGTTGTGGGTTCGTGTAGGAGCGCTCGTGCGGAGCTTGCGGCCTATCAGCACGGGGGTGCCCGGAGAGGCGTTCAGAGCGATCACGACGGCGAAGAGTAGCATGAGCTTCACAGGTTAGCGGGTTGTCGTCGGCGGCAGTCGACGTGCAGCTGCCAGTGGACCTGGCCCCAACGCGACCGGGTCGATAGACGTGTGGTGCAAGGAGCTGAGGGCAGCGCTTTAGTCGGCCTGGCCGACTCGGCCCTCACGCAACTTTATGGTACTGCCGTCGAGGCGGTAAAAGCTGCGAGCATGGCGGGTAGGCCGGCGGCGCGAATCGCTGTGTACTCCTAGGCTAGTAGTAGAAGGCCACATAGCATTTTAATGTAACCGAAGCGAAGCAAAGTTGCTTTTTTGAAACTGTCCATGTAAAGCTTCTGTTTCTTCTGCATAAGTCTCTACTGTACGCCTGCGTAGGTGACGTCCTTTCAACTTGACTTCTTGCTCGTCGTGAACGACGCTATCTATCGTGTACCTGCGAGACGCGAATTCGTTCGAGCTGGCAAGCAGCTTTGCGTGTGTAGCGATCGAAACAAGAGCACGAGCTTGCAGCACCAGCTTGACCAGTGGGTTCTACAATAAGAGTATCCTGATGTGTAGTAGCGCCGGAGTCGGAGTCGCCACGGAGTCGCCACAAGAGCGGCATCCGATATGGCGCGACGGCGCGACAGCCGCATCCAATATAGCGGGAGGGCGGTCGTTTTGGCCGAATTAAAACGGCAATTCCGACCTGCTTGATCAGCTCGACCGAGGTTTAACAAGCTAAATCGTACCTCCACCTGGAGTCCCTCGGCTTTATCTCTGAGCTGCAAATTATATCCGACCCGATATATCCTACTTCTGAGCATCGGAATTGCCAAAAAATTTGCAAGGCACAATAGTAAAATGCATACTTTATTTCCTTAAACTGGCACTGTGCCGAAATAAACAAAACAAGAGTGCCGAAATATAGCTAATCCGGCAGGTGCCAGTATAAGGGAGGTCTGCCTTTAAGACAGTGCCTTACCGTAAGCCCTTTAAAAAGGGCTGAGCAACCAAAAGACTGCACATCCGTACCATATATATGGTACAGTATGCTGTACCCATGGTACACCCTACGACAGTAATGCCCTCACCTCGGAATAAAAAGCGGGTTCCCAACGCCATGACTACCGGGGGATTGTCTGTAGTTGCATTTTTACTCATGTACACGCAACGTGAACGAGAAAGTAGAGAGCTAGCATCACATGCCACAAAAGCACTCACTATTGTATCATCTAAATATCAGCTTGGTATTTTACTGTAGGCAATCCTAGTTTCCCAACAATAAGCAAACACAACCCACAACTCGGGGTGTTACCCCGTATCCGGGTGCATGTACAATGGGAGCAGCAAAGCCAACGCCATCACGCACAGACCAGCGATGACGCCAGATTCATCGGAACAGTCGTTGGCAGCCCTGCAAATGGGTAGCGCGAGCTCACCATCGCACTCACGCGATCGGGTGCAAGTCCGCCTTGGCGACCAGCTGGCGCGGTGCCACGCGAGACTCGTCGTTCGGGATCAGATGAACCACACTTCAAAGAGCTACAGTAACCTCGGGGCGATTGGAAGCAAGGGGCAGCGGCGAGAAATGTCTACAGATGATGGAATGGCAAAGTTGCCACGAGCTGCTATTGTTGGCGAGCAAAGCGCGCTCGTTGTCAGGTCAAAGTTTTCAGTTGCTCTCCGCAACTTGCAAGTGGACAAAAGAAACGCATCTCCCCCTCGGGAATCGAGTTCTGGAGGTTGGACACGCGCCTCCGGCCGTATAACGGCCCACCACCCCAAAAGCGGAGCAAAGTGGGATCATTTCACTTATTCGCGGAGGTTTTCGCAGAAAAGCTGCACATTTCGCCAAGTGCCATTGGTTGATATTGGCACCAGCCAATCCCGCACCGCCAGACACAAGGGCAGAGTGATGTCATCTCAAAAATTGCGAGCTTCGAGCGCCCACTCGCCGACTGACCTCGAAGCACCAAGCTCCTCGCCCCGATGGTCGCCAACATGGAGGAGACCACCAGCACCACCACGACCGATAACGTCGTGCAGCGCCGCCCCAACGCTGCTGCTGCTGCTGCAACTGAGAAGCAGCCTCAGGAGCCGCTCATCAAGACGGAGGGGGACGGCGAGTTCGCCGAGGAGGAGGGCGAGCTGTTCGCGCCCGAGGAGCAGGCCGAGGCCGGCTTCCAGTGGTCCGAGGTCGTCTGGTACAACGTGTTCGTGCTGGCCGCGTGGCACGTGGGCGCGCTCTACGCGGCGCTGTTCGTTATGCCGGGCTGCTCGCTGTCGCAGCTGCTGGTGCTGTGGATCCTGCTCTGGGTCGTGGCCGGCCTGGGCATCACGGCGGGCGCGCACCGCCTGTGGTCGCACCGCGGCTACAAGGCCAAGCTGCCGCTGCGCGTCTTCCTCATGCTGTGCAACTCGATGGCCTTCGAGGGCACCATCTTCGAGTGGTCGCGCGACCACCGCGTGCACCACAAGGCCTCGGACACGACGGCCGACCCGCACAACTCGGGCCGCGGCCTCTTCTTCTCGCACATGGGCTGGGTCATGGTGCGCAAGCACAAGAACGTGCGCGCCGCCGGCAAGAAGCTCGACTTCTCCGACCTGCTGGCCGACCCCGTCGTGACCTTCCAGATGCGCCACTACATCAAGACGGTGCTGCTCATGTGCTACCTCGTGCCCACGGCCCTCGGCTACTACCTGGGCGACGCCTGGGCCGGATTCTGGGTGGGCGGCGTCTTCCGCCACGTCTGGGTGCTGCACATGACATGGATGGTCAACAGCGTCGCGCATTTCTTCGGCTACAAGCCCTACGACCGCAAGATCCAGCCCGTGGAGAACCTCATCGTGTCCATCGGCGCGCTCGGCGAGGGCTACCACAACTACCAGTACGTGCTGCTCTGCTTCGGTCTCCCTGGCCGACTTTCCATCTCTTTTGCTAACAGTATTGCTTTGATATTGCAGCCACAAGTACCCGTCGGACTACGCGACGAGCGAGTGGGGGCTCCTGAGCGGCCAGTACAACCCGACCAAGGCGTTCATCGACTTCTGCGCCATCATCGGCCAGGCCTACGACCTCAAGCGCAGCCGCACGGCCGCCCGCACCCGCGAGCGCGTGGCCAAGATGGTGCGCGAGGAGCGTCTGAAGCGCGGCCTGAGTCCGTCCATGTCGTGGTGGGACCGCCAGCTGAGCCAGCTCTTCTTCGGCAAGTCGGAGGCGCAGATCTTCCAGTAACTGCTGTAGTAAACGCGGGAAGGGCGCGCGTGCCCGCAGGCCGTCAGTTGATAGAAGCTGCGTGTAGTGGCAGCTGCATCGAGCGGCGGCGACGCCTTGTATGGATGAGAAATTAACAGGAAAAGCCTGATGAAATGCAGTGGTGCGTGTACGATCGATCGATTGCTGCTCCCAACGTACTGATCCTCGCCGCCGTGTGTCTATGGGCCATTCTGAACCGAGACCACTTGGTCTCAGTATGACGAACACCGGGCTGGCACTTCAACGACGCGAGCCAATTGAAAATGCGAGGCCAACAACAACGGCCGAACAGTGTCGCCATTCTGCTCGGAGAGCCCCCGCTCGGCCGCACTGCAGCCTCGAGCGAAGCAGTGCTCCACTTTCCGTCCTTGCCTTACCCCACGGCAGTGAAGCCATCACTGGCGTGCACGCCGACAGCTCCAACTGGGTGCTCCTGTGTATGCAGCTCGATTCAGCTGCGGCGACCAGCATGCAGCATTCTCTCTTCTCCTGGCGCTTTAGCTTGGCCTGGGCTCTTCCGAGGCGCCAGGAGCAGCGACAAGAGCATTACGGGCGCGAACGAGACATTTTCAGTCATCTGTACCCGGAACCATTCCTTCCTTGGCCCGGATAGCTACAGTACATACTGCTGCAACAATCTCGAGTCGAGCAAGTTGTTGATGCTTGGCATGTACCAACAGCCAGCACTTCAACAACCAGCTCGGCATCACGGGGGTAAAAGAGCTGAGCTCGACGCCCTCAACTTCAGGTTCCATTCACGTTGTCTTCAGTGCGGAAGACCACCGCAAGCTTCGCCCTCCGAAGCGCGGCGACTTCCTGCAAGCACCCTCCACGAGAAAAAGCCCAGCCGATGCGTGCATAGCAGATTGCCGCCTCTCAACATTTTGATTGTGAAACAACAAGAAACTCAAGTTCACTTGCTTTTTGTATGCCCCCATTCGGCCGGCAAATCTTCACACAATCCAATTCGCGGTTAGGACACGAGGTGATCTCAACACCAGCAGCTCCAGCCAACAGCAGCAACAGCCAGCGCCAGAACCCAGTCGCCCCGCCCCGCCCAATGTCCCTCCTCCGCCTCACTCGCCGACTCGCCACTCGCGCCTCAGCTTCCTCTCCTTTCTCCGCCCAAATGGTGCTGCGCTCCCTCTCGACCGCCGCCGTGAACGACAAGCTGGCCACGCTCAAGGGCCAGAACTTCATGTCCACGGCCCAGCTGAGCAACGACGAGCTCATCGGCCTGCTGGCCAAGGCCAAGGAGTTCAAGGCCACGTACTCCAACCCGGAGACCAAGGCCACGGCCCCCAAGCCGCTCACGGGCGAGATCTGCTCCATGATCTTCCAGAAGCGCAGCACGCGCACGCGCATCTCGAGCGAGGTGGGCATGCACCTGCTGGGCGGCAAAGGCCTCTTCCTCTCCTCGGACGACATCCAGCTCGGCGTGAACGAGACCATGCGGGACACGGCCCTCGTGCTCTCGCGCTTCAACAGCATCATCCTGGCGCGCGTCTACGGCCACAAGGACATCCTCGAGCTCGGCGAGCTGGCCACGGTGCCCGTGGTCAACGCGCTGTCGGACAAGTACCACCCGCTGCAGATGCTGGCCGACTACCTGACGGTCTACGAGCACTTCGGCAAGTTCGAGGGCCTGACCTTCGCCTGGGTGGGCGACGGCAACAACGTGCTGCACGACTACATGCTGGCCGCCCCCAAGCTCGGCGCCAACATCCAGATCGCCACGCCCGTGGGCTACGAGCCCGACGCCGACGTCGTGGCCGAGACCAAGCGCCTGGCCGAGCTCGCCGGCACCAAGGTCGTCATGACCACGGACCCCGTCGAGGCCGTCAAGGGCGCCAACGTCGTGGCCACCGACACGTGGATCAGCATGGGCCAGGAGGAGGAGTCGCAGAAGCGCCTCAAGGCCTTCGCCGGCTACCAGGTCACCAACAAGATGCTCGAGAGCGCCGCTGAGGACCACATCTTCCTGCACTGCCTGCCGCGTCACCAGGACGAGGTCGACGACGAGGTGCGGACTGCTGCAACTAAACTGCTTTGCCATTGACTTATTGCTGTGTGATGAGACTAACGATACTTATGATGTTCTTGTATTGTGCAGGTGTTCTACGGCCCGCGCTCGCTGGTCTTCGACGAGGCCGAGAACCGGCTGTGGACCGTCATGGCCGTGTACGCCGCGCTGCTGGGCAAGGTCTAAGCTGGCAGCGTCTGTAGGAAGAGCGGAACCAAGCTCTAGGTGTTTGTCTCGCTGGTAAATGAATGGAGACAGCCGTATATTCAAGTCACCCTCACCCTCTTCACCCGCGTCAGCTTCATCCATCGCCTACGGTTGAATTTTGGCAGACAAACAGCGATCGTCGTTACATATCCAACCGTGAAGCGCCGGCGCGCCGCCTTGCAGGGTCATTCGCGGAGACGCCTCGGAGAGAGAGAGGAAAGGAGAGCGGCCAGCTATAGCAAGAAAGCTCGTGTGAGTCTCCCAGCGCAGCGATGGGCGGCGACGGCGAGCGAGCGCCCAACAAGAACGAGGTGAACCCGCTCAAGTACATCGAGCAGCGGGTCGCCTCGGCGTTCCCGCAACTGGTCGGCCCCAAGTTCACCGCCAAATACGCCACCGAGCCGAACGAGTACGTGGTGATGGATGACCCTTTCACTTCCCCACTTGGTCAATTCACCATTTGCGTCTTGTGTTATGACGACAGGAACTGCGTCAAGGAGTTCCTCGAGAATGAAGACGTGACCATGCTCGCCTTCTCGGGCGACAACGTCATCGGGTCCATCAAGATGCCCGGCACGCTGCCGCGCGGCAAGACCGTGTGCTTCACCAAGTTCCACAAGACCGCCATCACGTCCAAGAACGTGCTAACGGACATCATGGTGAACGAGCTGACGCCCAGCAGCGTCGAGTACCTCGAGCGGATGGTGGCCGAGGTGTACCTGCCGCTCTTCTCCAACGTGGCCAACCAGGAAGGCTGGGGCGAGGTGGCGTCCAAGGAGGTCGTGGACAAGTTCCACTCGTACATGGCGTCCGTTTCCATCATCAGCGGTGCCACCAAGGGCGAGACGTGTCTGCCGCTGCCCCCGATCGACGGCAACGCCACCAACCTAAGCAACAAGGTGTCGCTGCTGGAAGGGTCCATCGTCATCTGGACCAAGCAGATCAAGAACGTGCTCAAGCAGGACCCGGAGGACCTCCTCAAGCAGGGGCTGCACCCGACGCCCGACGCCGAGATCGAGTTCTGGAAGCTCAAGGCGGCCAACCTCAACTCCATCTTCGACCAGCTCCAGTCCAAGAAGGTGCGCAAGATCCTCACGGCGCTCGACCGGTCCAAGAGCACCTACTGCACCACGTTCGCGCGCCTGTGCAAGGAGGTCTTCACGGCGCGCATCGAGGCCAACGACAACATGAAGTACCTGCGCACGCTGGAGGAGTGGTTCATCCGGCTCAACAACGACGAGGACTTCCCGGCGCTCACGGAGCTCTTCAAGCCCATGCTCCACATCATCTTGCTCATCTGGAAGAACTCCAAGCACTACAACACGCCCGCGCGGCTCGTCGTGCTCATGCGCGAGATCTGCAACTCGCTCATCAACCAGGCGCGCAAGTACCTGAGCGGCGAGCTCATCTTCGCGCTCATTGACCAGGACGAGGCCGGCCAGGCCGTCGAGCAGCTAAAAACCACGCTGCAGGTGTGCTCGGCCTTCAAGAGCACCTACTTCGACTACAAGGCCACGGCCAACGCCGAGTGTCCGTCCAACCCGTGGCGTATCCAGGGCAACGCGCTGTTCGTGCGGCTCGACAGCTTCCTGGAGCGCTGCCACGACATCCTCGACCTCACGCAGACGATCGTGCAGTTCAGCAAGCTGTCCAAGATTGAGGTGGGCGGCACCAAGGGCAAGACGCTGACGCTGAGCGTCCAGCAGATCCACGCCGACTTCACCGAAGCCGTCAACACATTCAAAGGCGTGTCGCTCGACATCATGGACGTGGGGGGCGCCTCCAAGTTCGACGACAACTTCTACGACTTCCGCTGCAAGATCAAGGAGCTCGAGCGTCGACTGGGATCCGTGCTCACGCAGGGCTTCGACGACTGCTCCACCATCTTCGGGCGCTTCAAGCTGCTCGACTCGTTCGAGGGGCTACTCAACCGCCCCATTATCCAGGACGAGCTGGAGAAGAAGCACGTGGCGCTCGTGCAGAGCTACGGACACGACCTGAAGCTCGTGCAGGAGCTCTTCTTGCACTGTCGTGACGCGCCCCCGATCAGTTGGAACCTGCCGCCCGTGGCCGGCGCTCTCACGTGGTGTCGTGGCCTGGTGGAGCGCATTGAGCACCCGATGAAGAAGCTGCGCGAGCTCAACCAGAACGTCATGGAGCGCGAAGAGGCCAAGGAGGTCTACAAGGTCTACGGCACCATCATGGCGTCGCTGCAGGAGTACGAGAACCAGAAGGTGGAGGAGTGGAGTCGCGACGTGGAGGCGTCTTCGCAGGCCAAGCTCAAGTACCCGCTCTTGCTGCGTCACCCGCAGACGCGTTGCCTCCGCGTCAACTTCGACCCAGCGCTCGAGAAGCTGCTGCGCGAGATCAAGTACCTTCGGCTGCTCAACATCGAGGTGCCTCAGTCGGCGCTGCAGATCTCCGCCAAAGAGGAGACCTTCCGCAAGTACCGAGGCGAGCTCATGTACATCGTGGAGCCGTACAACGCCATGATCGAGGGCATTCACCCGCTCGAGGAGCCGCTTGTGCGGCGGCACATCCAGAACATCGACGCGTGTGCCGGCCGAGGCATCGAGGAGCTCAACTGGAAGAGCGCGGGCATCGACTCGTTCATCGACGAGTGCCGCAAGGCCGTGGAGGGCGCGAACGAGATCGTGACGAACCTTAAGGACAACCTCAACACGATCCAGGACACGCTGGGCGCCTGGAACGTGCCTCTGCTGGAGCGCCAGGCCAAGCCCGTGGCCGTGAGCGAGCACGAGCGCCAGCACAAGAGCTACATCGTGCAGCGGACGCTCAAGATCCGCGAGGGCGCAGCAGAAATCCATCGCCGCCTGAAGCAGTCCAACACGGGCATCGTCGGCGTCAACAGCGCGCAGTGGAAGGCGTACGTCGACTATGTCAACAACATTGTGGTCAACGGGGTGGCCCGCGTCATTTGCTCGTCGCTGGAGTTCCTGGCCAAGCAGTTAGACCCGAGTGGGGGCAAGGACGGAGGCGGTGAACGAGAGGGGCCCCCTCGAGAAGGAGGCTCCAAGTCGACCAAAGACCAGACCCGCCTGCCCATGCTGGAGATCAAGCTGGACCTGATCGCGAACCGCGTGCAGTTCAATCCGAGCATCGGCGAAAACCACGGCAAGGGGCTGAGCGACACCATCCAGATGTGGATCAACTCGTTCTTTAACGTGGCTACTGCCGTCAAGCGCCTCGACTCCGATGGGGGCGGCTCGTACTTGAAGGAAATGCACTCGGACATGACCATCTCCATGATGCTGGCCACGATCAGCGAGTACCAGGAGGAGAACGAGGCCATGCTGGCCGCCTTTAAGCGCAAGTACGACGGCTACGGCTACCTGTGGGAGTCGGACATGGCCGCTCACTTCCAGACCTTCCTGGCCACGGCCACGGTGGCGGGCGCCAACGGAGGCGCAGACATGCTCGACCTGGAGAAGTTCAACGCCGAGATCACCAAGTACGAGCAAGTGGCCAGCGAGATCGAGAACTTGACGACGCCCACGGACATCGGCTGGCTGCGCGTGAACTCGCAGCCCATCAAGACGGCCATGCTCACGTGGGTCAGCAAGTGGATCTACCAGTACACGACGTACCTGCACCAGCACGTGGTGAACAAGCTCTCGGGATTGCACGACTTCATGGAGACTGTGATCAAAGGGCTGGAAGAGCAGGTCGTGGACAAGAACAAGGACGCTCTGAAGCGCGTCATGACCCACATTCGAGACGTCCGCAAACAAATGGACGCGACGAACGAGCTCTTCGACCCACTGCGAGAGGCGGTTCACCTGCTCAAGCTGCACGGCATCAACGTGGAGGACACGAAGATCGGTGACCACGCAGTGCAGGACTACCTGGAGGCTGCCCCCATGCAGTGGGAGGCTATTGTGAACAAGACGTTCAAGAAGAAGGAGGAGATCATGCCCCTGCAGATGGCCGAGGTCGAGTCCATCAAGGAGGAGCTCGAGTCCTTCTTCCTGGACATGCGCAAGTTCCGCAACGAGTTCCGAACGACTGCTCCGTTCAGCTTCCAGGGAACCCCTAACGAGGCCTACGCGCAGATGAACAACTTCGCGTCTGCGCTCCACAAGAAGATGCAGCAGGCTCGGGAGTTCAACGAGATGGAGGAGCTGTTCGAGCTGCAGGTCTCCAAGTACCAGGAGACGACGGACACGCTGTACGAACTGCAGCAGCTCAAGAAGTGCTGGGATCTGAAAGACCTGGTGCTGGCCACCTTCGACGACTGGAAGAGCACGCTGTGGGCGAGCATCCAGACGGACACGTTCGAGGGGTACACGCGCGCGTTCATGAAGCAACTCAAGATGGAGGCGACCGAGCACCAGATCATCAAAGGCTGGCAGGTCTACAAGGACACGGAGCAGCTCGTGAAGAACATGTCGACGGTGCTGCCTCTGATCAACGATCTCCACTCGGAGGCCATGCAGGACCGACACTGGAAGGCGCTGTCTAGCATCTGCCACGTCAAGGCCATCGAGCCCAAGGACCCCAAGTTCTGCCTGGCCGATCTACTCAAGCTCAACCTCCACATGCACGTGGACGACGTGGGGGAGATCGTGGAGACGGCCAACAAGGAGCAGAAGATCGAGAAGAAGCTCAAGATGATCGAGGAGCTGTGGCAGCGACTCACGCTCGAGTACGTCCCTCACAAGGACTCAGGCACATTCGTGGTGAAACCCTCCGAGGAAGTGGTGGAGTCGCTCGAGAGCAACCAGCTCGAGCTGCAGACCATGATCGGCATGGGCAAGTTCGTCGAGTTCTTCAAGGACCGCGTGCTGGCGTCGCAGAAGACGCTCGGCCACATCGAGGAGGTGCTGAAGGAGTGGGTGTCGGTGTCCAAGCAGTGGGCGTCGCTCGAGAGCATTTTCCTGAGCTCGCCCGATATCCGCAACCAGCTCCCAGACGACACGCGCACGTTCGAGTCCATCGACTCGAACTTCAAGGACCTGATGAAGAACGCAGTGATGGAGCCCAACGTAGTGCTGGCCTGCTCCGTGGACAACCGTCTCGAGAGCCTCAAGGAGATGACGGCAATGCTGGAGAAGTGTCAGAAGTCGCTGAACGAGTACCTGGACAAGAAGAAGAAGATCTTCCCGCGCTTCTACTTCGTGTCGAACGTGGCGCTGCTGGAGATCCTCTCGAATGGCAACAACCCCAAGAAGATCATGCCGTTCCTCGGAGACTGCTACGACTCGCTGTGCAACCTCATCTTCGAGGACGACTCGCCCAACACGGCGCACACGATGGTGGCCAAGGACGGCGAGTCCGTCAAACTGCCCAAGATCTTCGTCATGGCCGGCGCAGTCGAGAGCTGGCTCAACGAGTTGACGGAGGCCATGCGCTTCTGTCTGCGTAAGGAGATGCACGACTCCATCGAGACTGCGGCCAACTGGGATGTGGAGAAGCCTCGCCACCAGTGGCTGTTCGACTACCCGGCGCAGGTTGTGTTGAACTCGACGCAGATCTACTGGACGGAGGAGACGGAGATGGCGCTCGAGGAGTTCGAGAACGGTCAGGAAGACTCGGTCAAGAGATACCTGACGGTGTGCAACCAGCGACTGGAGCAGCTTATTAACCTCGTGCTGGGCAACTTGTCCAGCCCGGATCGTTGCAAGATTATCGCTCTGATCACGCTGGATGTGCACTCGCGAGATGTTGTGAAGAAGCTCGTGGACGAGAAGGTCGAGGGCCCGCTGAGTTTCATGTGGCAGCAGCAGCTCCGCTTCATCTGGCGCCAGGAGAACTACGACGTGGATATCAGAATTACGGACTTCCGGTCCAAATACTCGTACGAGTGGATTGGCAATACTGGCCGTCTCGTGATCACTCCGCTAACGGATCGATGTTACATCACCTTGACCATGGCGCTGAGACTGTTCCTGGGTGGAGCTCCTGCTGGCCCCGCCGGTACGGGCAAAACGGAGACCACGAAGGATCTGGCCCGAGCCATGGCGCTGTGTTGCTACGTGTTCAACTGCTCGGACCAGATGAACTACCAGACTATGGCCGATATTTTCCGTGGTCTGTGCCAGACTGGTACCTGGGGCTGCTTCGACGAGTTCAACCGCATCAACATCGAGGTGCTGAGTGTGGTGGCCACCCAGGTCAAGTGCATCCAGGACGCCATCGTGTTCAACGCCGTGCCGGCCAACCGAGAGGCCAAGTACCAGTCGCTGCCTGCAGGAACCCCGCCCGTCGTCGTGGGCGAGTTTGAGTTCATGGGCGCGTCAGACCGCATCACGCTCATCCCGACCTGTGGTTTCTTCATCACCATGAATCCTGGTTACGCCGGACGCACAGAGCTGCCTGAGAACCTCAAGGTGCTCTTCCGCTCGTGTGCCATGATCCGACCGGACCTGAAGCCCATCTGCGAGAACATGCTCATGTCCGAAGGCTTCCAGCAGGCGCGCACCCTGGCCATCAAGTTCGTGACGCTGTACGAGCTCAGCGGCGAGCTGCTGTCCAAGCAGTTCCACTACGACTGGGGCCTCCGCGCTGTCAAGTCTGTGCTTCGTGTCGCTGGTATCCTCAAGCGAGCTGAGCCCGACGTCGAGGAAGATAAGGTGCTCATGCGTGCCCTGCGTGACTTCAACACGCCCAAGATCCCGCACCACGACACGCCGATCTTCCTCCGTCTCATCAACGATCTGTTCATCGGCGTCGAGGTGGCCCCCAAGGTCAACATCGAGCTGCGAGAGAAGGCCGTGACGGTATGCAAGGCCAACAACCTGCAGCACGACGACTCGTTCATCCTCAAGATCTGCCAGCTGCAAGAGCTCATCGATGTGCGTCACTCCGTCATGCTGCTGGGCCCCGCTGGCTGTGCCAAGACCACGACGTGGCAGGCTCTGGCCAAGTGCTGGAACCTTGGCAAGGAGAAGAAGATCTGCGTGTACGAGACGCTTAACCCGAAGGCCGTCACGTCGGACGAGCTGTACGGCTACATGACGCTCTCCAAGGACTGGAAGGACGGCGTGTTGTCGATCATCATGCGCGGCATGGCCAAGAACTACTCGGAGCAGGGCTTCTACGAGAGTCAGACGTACAAGTGGGTGGTGCTGGACGGCGATATCGACGCCGTCTGGATCGAGTCGATGAACACGGTCATGGACGACAACAAGGTGCTCACTTTGGTGTCGAATGAGCGTATCCCGTTGAGCAGTGCCATGCGTATGGTCTTCGAGATCAACTCGCTCAAGAACGCTACGCCAGCGACGGTCTCTCGAGCCGGAATCCTCTTCATCAACGAAATCGACATCGGCTGGCGGCCGTTCATGGAGTCGTGGGTGGCCAAACGGGAGGAGGAAGTCGAGCGCACGTATCTGCCGGGCCTCTTTGACAAGTACGTGGACCCCATCTACGACCTCATGCGCAAGGGCTACAAGCAGGTCGCGCCCGTGCGTCTGATCAACCAGGTCTCGACCATTTGCTACCTGCTCGAGGGCCTGCTGGGCAACATCCCCATCGAGAAGAAGAACCCGGAGGTGATTGAGTCGATCTTCGTCTTCTGCGCAACGTGGGCCTTCGGCGGGCCGCTCATCGTGGACAAGAGTATTGACTACCGCAAGAACTTCCACGAGCTCTGGTGCTCCACGTTCACGAACGTCAAGTACCCGAAGGAGGGGCTGTGCTTCGACTACTTCTACAACCTCGAGAGCGGTGAGTTCGAGAGCTGGAGCACGAAAGTGCCCAAATACACGCCCGGTACCATCGGCAATGGCCCGGCCGATACGCCGTTCAACTCGATCGTCATCAGCACCAACGACTCGGTGCGTATCCGTTTCCTGGTCGAGACCCTCGTGGCCCGCCAGCGGCCAGCGATGCTCGTCGGCGGTAGCGGCACGGGTAAGACGACGATCCTCAAGAACTTCCTGCGGGACCTGGACGACGATATGCTCTTCTCCAACATCAACATGAACTACTACACGGACTCGGCCAAACTGCAGCAGCAGCTCGAGTCGGTGATCGACAAGCGCTCGGGCCGCATGTTCGGCCCGCCGGCGACCAAGAAGCTCATCTACTTCATCGACGACCTGAACCTGCCGTACATCGAGACGTACGGCACGCAGAACTCGCTGGCCTTGCTGCGGCAGCACATGGATTACAAGACCTTCTTCGACCGACTGGACCTGGGCTTCAGGAAGGAGATCGTGGACGTGCAGTACCTGTCGGCCATGAACCCCACGGCTGGCTCATTCATCATCGATGAGCGGTTGCAGCGCCACTACGCGCTGTTCGCGTGCATGATGCCAGGCCGCGAGGATCTCAAGACCATCTACAACTCGATTCTAAAGGGCCACATGCAGAACTCGGGCTTCGCTCCGACAGTGATCGCAGTGTGTGAGAACATCGTCAACGTGTCGATCCTGCTGCACGAGGAGATGGTCAACCGCTTCCTCCCGAGCGCCACCAAGTTCGTGTACAACTGGAACATGCGCGAGCTGTCCAACATCTTCCAGGGACTCACGCGCTCCAAGGGCGAGTTCTTCCCGACGGCCTACTCGTTCGCGCGGCTGTGGGTGCACGAGTCCACGCGCGTCTTCTGCGACCGTCTCATCAACGACGAGGACATTCTCAAGTTCGGCGAGCGCATCCGTGAGGTGACCAAGAAGGTGTTGCCAGACTTGGACCAAGTAGCGTTATTCAATGACCAGCCCCCGCCTCCGCCCGGCTCCGAGGACAGCGCGCCGGTGCCTGTAAACATCTTCACGACATTCGCCACTCCAGTGGCCGGGGCCGACAGTGTCTACATGCCAGTGGCGTCCATGAAGGCGCTCAACAAGGTGCTGGTGGAGCAGCTGGACGACTACAACTCTAAGTACTCCATGATGAACCTCGAGCTGTTCGACAACGCTATGGAGCACGTGACTCGCATCTGCCGCATCATCGGGAACCCTGGAGGTAATGCGATGCTTATCGGTGTTGGCGGCAGTGGCAAGCAGTCGCTGTCTCGCCTCGCCTCTCACATCTGCGGCTTTGACGTGCGCCAGCTCTCGGTCACGTCCAACTTCCGCATTGAAGACTTGAAGGAGAGTCTGGCCGAGATGTTCAAGATCGCGGGCGTGCAGGGACTCCCGCTGGTCTTCCTCATCACGGACTCGCAGATCGTCAACGAGCGCTTCCTCGTGTACATCAACGACATGCTCTCGTCCGGCTGGATCCCGGACCTGTTCCCCAAGGAGGACCTTGACGGACTGCTGGGGGCTCTGCGTAGTGAGGCCAAGGCGAACGGCATCCCCGACGCCATGGACGCGCTCATGGACTTCCTGCTGCTGCGGATCCGACTCAACTTCCGCGTCGTCATGTGCTTCTCGCCCGTTGGCGCCGTCTTCCGTGTGCGCGCTCGTCGCTTCCCGGGTCTCGTGAACTGTACAGTCATCGACTGGTTCCACCCGTGGCCGCGCGACGCCCTGGTGCGCGTGGCGTCGAGTTTTCTCGAGAAGTTCGAGGACATCGGGGACATACAGCTCCAGCGCAACCTGGCCAACCACATGGCCGACGTGCACATTTCCGTGACCGACATGAGCAAGAACTACTTCGAGACCCAGCGCCGCTACAACTACGTGACGCCCAAGAGCTTCCTCGAGCTCATCAGCTTCTACGAGATCCTGCTCAAGCAGCGGAAGGAGGACATCCAGCGGCAGATTTCTCGCCTAGACGACGGACTGTCGACGCTGCGTAAGACCTCGGCCGATGTGGCCGAACTGCAGGTGGATCTCAAGCACACGATGGTCAAAGTGGCCGAGAAGCAGGCCTCGACCGACCAGCTTCTGGAGCAAATGGGCCGGGAGAAGGCGGGCGCCGAGGTGCAGCAGGAGAACGCCAACAAGGAGAAGCTCAAGGCCGAAGCGGCCAGTGCAGCCGCCGCAGAGCTCGCAGCTGAGGCCGAGAAGGAGCTGAGTCAGGCCAAGCCGGCCATGGATGCCGCCGCTGCCGCTGTGGATTGTCTGTCCAAGCCTGCTATCACTGAGCTCAAGAGTCTGCCCAAGCCGCCTGCAGGAGTGGACAACGTGACCAAGGCGTGCCTCATTCTCGTGGAAAAGGAGTACAAGAACCACAAATGGGACCGCGCCAAGAAGATGATGAACAACGCGGGTGCGTTTCTGGACGCGTTGAAGGACTTCAGAGGCGAGGACATCCCCGAGGCGGATATCGCTCGCATCGAACCTTTGATCGCGGACCCTGAGTTCACCGCCGAGAAGATGGCGTCCAAGAGTTCGGCCGCTGCCAACATTTGCTCGTGGGTCGTCAACATCTACACGTTCAACCGCATCTACGTGCGCGTGAAGCCCCTGATGGACTCGCTCGAGGCCTCCAAGAAGAAGAAAGAGGAGGCCGAGGAGCAGCTTGCGCGCGCAATGGGCCAAGTGGCCGAGGTGCAGAAGCGACTGGAAGCGCTCGAGAACACGCTGCGTCAGGCTACGGAGGAGAAGCTCAAGGTGGAGGAGATGAAGGAGTCGTGCGAGAACCGACTGCTGCTGGCCGGTAAGCTCGTGAATGGCCTGGCCAGCGAGAACGAGCGTTGGGGTATCGAGATCGAGCAGCTCAAGAACTCGGGCGTCATGGTGGTCGGCAACTCACTGTTGGCCGCTGCCTTCGTGTCGTACATCGGCGCCTTCGACCAGGCCGTGCGCAAGGAGCTGTGGCAGCAGACCTGGTTCCCAGACCTCGTGGCCAAGGGCATCCCCATCATGGAGGGCATCGACCCGCTGTCCATGCTGACGACCGAGGGCAAGAACGCCAAAATGATGAGCGAGGGGCTGCCTGCCGATCGCATCTCGATCGAGAACGGCGCCATCATCACGAGCTGTAAACGCTGGCCGTTGGTGATCGACCCACAGTTGCAGGGCATCAAGTGGCTGCGTGAGAAGGAGAAGGACCGCGGCCTTGTGGTGCTGCAGCTGAGCCAGAACCAGTGGCTGCGCAAGACGGAGACTGCGATCGTGAATGGCCACGTGCTTATCATTGAGAACATTGGCGAGGAGATCGACGCTACGTTGGACCCGGTGCTTGGCCGAGCCGTGTACAAGAAAGGATCGAACCTGTTCTTGAAGCTGGCGGGCGAGGAAGTGCAGTACGACCCGGGCTTCTTCATGTATCTCCAGACGAAGCTGTCGAACCCGCATTACAAGCCCGAGATTGCGGCGCAGTGTACGCTCATCAACTTCATCGCGACGGAGAGCGGCTTGGAGGACCAACTGCTGGAGAAGGTGGTCAAGAAGGAGCAGCCGGAGCTCGAAGCGCGCAAGCAGGAGCTGGTGCTGGCCTTCCAGAAGTTCAAGATCGACCTGGTGGAGCTCGAGGATCAGCTGCTGGAGCGTCTCGCCAACGCCCCCGACGACATCCTGAGCGACGTGCCTCTGATCGAGAGTCTGGAGGAGACCAAGAAGAAGGCCACCGATATCTCCATCTCGGTCAAGAAGAACCAGGAGACGGAGATCGTCATCAACAACACGCGCGAGCTCTATCGGCCCGTGGCGGCCGAGGGTGCTATGCTCTACTTCCTGCTCACGACGCTCAGCGCCATCGACCACATGTACCGCTACAGTCTGGACTCGTTCATCACCTTCTTCTACAACTCAATCGACCGCGCGCCGCAGAGCGACAAGCAGAGCGAGCGCGTGCTCAACCTGCGTGAATCATTGCGGATCACCATCTATACGTGGGTCTCTCGCGGGCTGTTCGAGGCACACAAGCTCATTTTCCTCTCGCAGCTCACGTTCAACCTCATGCGTCGAGGCATCCTGGGCGAAGACGTGCGAGTGCAGGAAGCTTACATGCAGTTCCTGCTGCGAGGGCCCAAGAAGGCCGCGGCGGGTGGAGGCGAAGAGGAAGCGAACCCCATTGACTGGTTGCCGCCCGCTCAGTGGAGCGCTATTAACATGCTGGCCCTGCTCGAGGAGTTCCAGAAGATGCCGCAGGACCTAAAGGAGGCGTCCTCGCGCTTCCGTGAATGGTACAACCACGTTACGCCCGAGTCTGAGAAGCTGCCGCTCGATTGGGCTGGCCTGGATCGTACGCCCTTCCTCAAGCTGCTGGTAGTGCGCTGCCTGCGTCCGGATCGGATGACGGTGGCCGTGAACGAGTTCGTGCGCCAAGTCCTGCCGAACGGCAGCAACTACTGCGACTGCGACTCGGCTCTCAACGCGCTGCAGGTCATGGACAACTCGTACTTGGACTCGACGCCCACGACGCCTCTGTACTTCATCCTGTCTCCTGGCGCTGATGTGGTGGCCGGCGTGGACAAGCTCAGTGTCAAGTACGGCTTCGAGCGCGGTGTGAGCTACCACAACGTGTCCATGGGTCAGGGGCAGGACGTGTACGCCATGGACCGCCTCGAGGTGGCGCACCGCAACGGCCACTGGGTCATCCTCAACAACATCCACCTCATGCCGCGCTGGCTGCTGGCGCTCGAGAAGAAGCTGGACGAGTTTGCGCTCGAAGGCTCGCACAAGAACTTCCGGTTGTTCCTGACTTCGGACCCGTCCAACTCGATCCCCATCGGCGTGCTCAACCGCTGTATCAAGCTGACGAACGAGCCCCCATCGGGACTCAAGGCCAACTTGAAGCGCGCCTTCGTGAGCTTCCCGAAGGAATACATCGAGGAGGCCGAGGGCAAGGTCAAGTCCATTCTCTTCGGCCTGTGCCACTTCCACGCCGTGCTCATGGAGCGCAAGATGTACGGTCCGCTGGGTTTCAACATGATGTATCCGTTCTCTCTCGGCGACCTGCGCGACTCGGCCATCTGCCTGCAGAACTACCTCGAGAGCTCGGCCGGCGGCAAGATCCCGTGGGCCGATCTGCGTTATATCTTTGGCGAGATCATGTACGGCGGCCACATTGTGAACGACTTCGACCGGCTGCTGGCCAATACGTACCTGGACTTCTACATGCGCGACGAGCTGTTGGACGAGATGGAGATGTTCCCGTTCGTTGGCGACGAGAAGGGCCCGTCCTTCATGTGCCTCGCGCCGTCCTCCTACGACAAGTACCTGGAGCACATTGAGACGGAGCTCAAGACGGATTCCCCGTTGGCCTTCGGTCTGCACCCGAACGCCGAGATCGACTTTCGAACGACTCAGTCGGAGAACCTGTTCCGCACGTTGATGGAGCTGCAGCCGCGTGACGCCGCCGCGGGAGACGCGGCCATGAGTCCGTTGGAGCTGGCCAAGCAGGGCCTGGAGATGGTGCTGTCTCGCATCGGAGAGAAGAAGTTCGAGTGCGACGAGATCGCGCGCAACCTCGAAGAGATGGGGCCGTACCAGAATGTGTTCATCCAGGAGTGCGAGGCCATGAACGGGCTGCTGGCCGAAGTCGTGCGCTCGCTGAACGAGTTGTCGCTGGGTTTCGCGGGCGAGCTCACCATGTCGGACGCCATGGAGGCCGTGCAGGAGTCGCTGTTCCTTGACCGCGTGCCCAAGTCGTGGGAGAAGTTGGCCTTCCCGTCGCTGCGTCCGCTTGGGTCGTGGCTCACGAACCTCGAGGCGCGACTGCAGCAGCTGGAGGAGTGGACGCAGAACCCGGCGGACATCCCGCGCGTCACGTGGCTCTCGGGCATGATCAACCCGCAGTCGTTCCTGACCGCCATCATGCAGGTCACGGCCCAGAAGAACCAGTGGGAGCTCGACAAGCTCGTGATCCAGACGGACGTGCTCAAGCGCCGCAACGGTGAAGTAGACGCGCCGTCGCGCGACGGAGCTTACATCCACGGCCTGTTCCTCATGGGCGCGCGCTGGGACATCCAGAACAACACGGTGGATCGCTCGCACCCCAAGGAAATGTTCTCGCCCATGCCCGTCATCAACTGCAAGGCCGTGGCCGCGGACAAGCTCGACGTCAAGGGATCGTACGTCTGTCCGTGCTACAAGACGGAGTTCCGGGGCCCCACCTACGTTTTCTCAGCCCAGCTCAAGTCCAAGTCACCGCCTGCGCGTTGGGTGCTAGCGGGCGTCGCTCTTATCATGGACATCGTGTAGATATCGTAACCCTGCACTTACTTCATAGTACTGATAGTCGTGTCGTCTAGCTTCTCAATACTACCCACATTCTTCATATTGACACCATTGATGATATAGTGCCTGAGCTGGACCAGGCTTAGGTCGTAAGGGCAGGGTGAAGCGGTATTGAATTTCCACGCTGAAGCGAATCGGAAAAGTGAATCCGTGGTCGGCCTTGTGGCGTCGTGCTTGGGAACTCAACTACTCGGGTTAGCAATTAGAAGTAGCGCCATCCATTTAGGACTGACATTGCGACGTTGACGCTGCGGCGCCTTCAACTACAGCAAGATGGCGTACAGAGAGTAGCGGCAATAAGAAAGGGTTCAACGATTAAAGTACTGAAGGTATATACAATAATCAAGTCAAATAAAATCTTGCGGAGCTTTAAACGTATTTACTTAACGAAATAAATGAAACACGTTAGGTACGTTATTATTTGGCCCGATTGACGATGGACTTCGACGCTACAGGCTCGTCGTACTCGTCTTCCTGAGGCGCACGACCTTCAAATACACTGGCTGCGACTCACTACGACGCCCTGCTTGTCCATGGCCACCGCATATTACTGTAGCTACGTCTCGGCGGTGTGCTTGCTGAGCTTGTGCAAACCCAACATGTGCATACTCAGGAAACTGGGAGGACGGACCCCATCGCTCGTACTATCATAGGGTGCGCACGGCAGCAACCACAGCCTGCTACTGTAGTTGCAGCACCGGCGTGGAGTTGCTTTCGCAGCATCGCGTTTTAGGTCAAGTGATTACTGTACTACAAAACCTTTGACAACTCTATCGGGGTAATCAATGATACAGTGCGAAAAGAAGGCAAACAGCATTTGCGAGCCAATCGACGGAGATACGAGCGGAATGGCATGGATTGGCGGGTAGGAAACCGCCAATCGCTCTGTTTCCGCTTAACGCAGGCTGGATTAGCTTACGGAAAATGTACAGCCCATGTTTTCGGATTGGAGGGGGTGAAATGACCCGCAAATCTATCGTGATGCAGAGACCAAATCGGCATCAGTGGCGTTTGAGAAGCATGAACAACCCGCAAACGTAGCCACGAAGCAAGCCTTAGGTCTACAGTTCCCTGCCTAGCGCTGGGCCGGCCTTCTAAAGGTTTTAAGGACAGGTAGAGCCACATTTAGCACTCGATTACCCAGTTCCCAGGGATTTGCAATAGATTTGGGTGCCATGACACCCGTCCTGAAAACCGAAACATGGATGTCCATGATTTCAGCATATTTTACATGTTTGGAGATCTTACTTGGTTTTAGTATGCCTTTATACCTAACCCTATTTCGAAACATGGGCTGTAGGGCCAGCCATTAGCTTACCTAATTCGGCTACGGAGGGACGACCCGGAATTAACATGGGAATTAGCTAACTCGTGGCATAATTAAGGTCGATAAGGGTTTAGAGTTATGCCAGAATTATCACGGCAGAATAAGTGAAAGGCACAATATTGACAGGCGCGGCCCTAACGGTGTACAATATTACCGAGAAACTGATAAATTCGTTTTGTCCTGCGCTTGTCAGATCAAAGCCATATTTCGGAACGGGATACATCAATACCTAAAAGGAGTAATTGACGCGTTTCAGCGCGGAGACCCCTCTGCTTCATCAGTATATACGTTTATCTGCAATATGCCATACTTAGACGTAGTCAATTTTGACTGCAGGCTTTCGTAGCGCGAAAGGTCGCGCTGAAAAATACGTGTCCAATAGATTACTTCGGTGATGGCCTCGCATCCAAATCTGTGGGGAAGACGCCTGCGCAGCGGGGTTCCAAGCAAAAGCCGTTTAGCAGGAATACCCCAGTGTCTACAACTTTCGTCGATCTCTATACCTGATAAACATCATGAATTTCTCGCACATTATCAAATAACTTGCATATGAAAAGGCATTACGGTAATTTATGTCGAAGAGTCGAACTTCGTGTGCTCTTTTCTCGTGAACTGGAGCACTATTGCAGCTCTAACCATCACCGTTGACCTAGTGGCAGTAAGACCTATCCAATGATACCTCTTTGTGTCTGCACTAGTAGTCTCTTTCTGGTACCTAAATATGCGTCTTCTCGGAGAAATCCAGTTATAGGTATTGTGCTTTGCATCCAGTTTGCTCTCCTATTTAGTGCACTCCTTAAGTACTTAGTGTTCGTACTTAGCGGTAAATCATAGTCGCCTTGAATGCGAGTTGCTCAAGTCGTGTTTCGAGCTCGATTTGGCTCGGAAATGGCACTTTCTAAAGGTGCCAAAAGGATGCCAATCCCTGGATGTGCTAAATCATGCAGGAGATGGCGTTTGTGCACTACTTAGTGCTCATTGCCCATCCACGACTTTCAGCAATTCGCACTCGAGTACGATTTATAGATAAGTCGTGCTCGATAAGTCGTACGACTTACAGTCCGAAATGCCAAAAAGTATGCAAAGCACAATACATTCTTAGGGCCACAACAAGCGTCACGGCGAGCAGAGCTGGCTGCTCAGAGAGGATTGTCTGCATACGATAAACTATGAGAGTCTAGAGCCAGAAAGACAAGGAATGATTACAAGGAGTTCTGCTGCAGAACTTCTGCCGGCGTACCGTATGGTGATCTAAGGATTGGAATAAGAGGAGCAAAGCCCAATCCTTACTGGAAAGAGGCTCTTATACAGTGAGTCGATTTTTAGTGTCAGTGACTGTAGCGCTGTTGTACGCCAGACATCCCACACTCAAGGGGGGCCAGCAAAAACGCTGAAGTATTGGCCATACTGCACGATTCTGTGCCGTAATGGCAGGCACTACTAGTACGTACAGCCAGCATGAGTCTTACCCAAGCAATTCTACTCGAGTCAGTGTACATGTACAGTATATGTATACTGTACATGTCGAGCGCGTCACGCGGGGACCGGAGCGGTCGGGCTGGTCCGCGGGCTTTGCTCTCTTTTGAGGAATGACCCCAGTTGCCGCGGCGCGCGAATTTGGATAGCACCTTCCGGAGTGATGGTCACTCCAAAAGTGGGCAGGGGCGTGTATTCGGGGGGGGTCCGCCTGCCACCGCTCGCTTGCTTTCGAAAATGACTGAAATTCGTTTCTGGGAAAGCAAGGAAAGAAGAACGGCCGCGGGCGGACGGGAAAAACCTCGGCGACCGGCCGCCACACTAGGATTCAGTATGCGCACCTGAAAAACCTCGACATCCACCATATCATCTTTGGCAGGGCGCGACCGCAAACCCTGCCAAAGCCGATCGAAAGCGGGCGCATTCTTCGCCGTTTTGGGCCGAAAGATGCCGCGAGACCGCTAAAGATCCGAGACAGCCTGGCTTTTACCGCTGGGGGCGGCGGCGAATACATTGTATAATAATCTCTGAATGAATCGCCAACACACATGATCATGACGGCGGGCAGCAGCTGGGTTGTACGCATGCGACACGAATTGTTGTCAGCGACGTAGGATCGGAGGAGTCATAACCGCTGGTGGGTTTCTACATGTAAATGCGAATTTAGAGTGAGATGGGAGGTAATACTAGTAGTACGCCATACTAATACCATACTTGTCCTGAACGATTAGCCAGTTTCTCTTCCTTCTCATAGGATGTGCTATTAAATTAGGGAGGTTGAATCGCTTCCCAGATGATCACCTCGCCCAAAGAAGGAGGGTTTAGCCTCCGCCTTTTCGCCACACCAAAGCCATGATCATTCTTGAAAAAACCACCCACTCCAACTTGCGACTTCTACAGTGTACGCGCTATTCAAAGATGAAGGTCCAGATCGTGATTGCTGCCCTCGCCACTCTGCTGTTGCCCGTGTAAGTACACACTGTTACCGGGGCGTACATTGTATACCATGTTTACTGACCTTTTGTTATCAGCCACGGTGCTTCGAACACTGCTCGCCTCCAGTGTGCTGGAGGAGTCCCTGACAACACAGGCGCCGGCTCTGGCATCATTTACGAGAACTCTGGCTTCTTGACCGCTGACTTCACCCAGAAGTCCTGCGCCGCGGCAGGCGGCTCGATCGATTCTAGCAAGAAGGGCAACGACAAGTGCTGCATAGTCCCCGCTTCTCCCGGTGCCCAAATCAACACTTTTTTTGGCGCTTGCGAAGGTCAAAAGCCTGGAAGCAACTACCAGACGTTCCGTCCCTTTGCCCGGTATTGCTAGATGGATGGAAACACGTGGGGGGGACCCCAAACAGGGGGAATCTGGCGTGTGGATATCCTACGCTATGAGTATCGTGTAGCAGACAATGTGCAAATTTATACACGCTCTCCACTAAAATAATAATCGAAGTTTCCAAAACAAAATCGAGGATCTCGATGCACTATTTTTTTGCCACAATCTTTTGCCGGTCCAGTTCTTTTTTTTACTTGAAGTAAATCTGTTAGGCCATTTAACTAGCCCATGGAGAGAAGTACTTCGTCGGATAGCCCTATGCGTGCTCTATATTGTACTACAGTAGTAGCTGTGACGAAGAGCGGGGGAGGTGCTATAGGTGGGAGAATACTTTTGCCGGAGCTAGCCTGTAAGAACGTGGTCCCTTATCGCTGGTAAACTATCAGGCTAGCATCACTGCAGGGATGACTAATGTTATTCGAAGGTTGGTGCTAACAGGACGGCCGCTTTCCATCCAACTTCCATACACCCTATCGATCTTTGTTTTAAAGACCGCGGCTATAGTAGTCATGACTACGATTTTACACCCCCGACTGCTTGCGCACCCGAAACTCAATCAAAAGTCGATTGTCATTATCACAGGATCACGGTATGCGGACAACTATGCCGCTGACTAGCAAACAGCAATAGTGGGGCTATGTGCAAACGTAATACTATACCTCTGGCGGAAAACAATGGGCACACCAGTAATATTCTGTACAGGAGCTTTTATTCTACTTTGTAGAAGCAAAGTTTGAAATTTTGTAAGCGCCAACTCACATACCGCCGACTAGTAGTGATACGTCGTAGCAAAACTACTTAATATTTGTATGTCTAATGAGGAAGGGGTTTGAGAAAAGAGTGATGACGAGGGCTGCAGAAGTGATTCATAACAGCTCACAACGTGCATGGGTGTCCGCTGCGGATATTAGAGATCATTAGCACTCACTTAGTACTATATGAACACAATATACCTTACCTGCAAAATGAAATGCAGAAACGATTCAGTTACCTATCCTTCGTCGTTGTACGGGCAAACAAAAAACCAAAGATGCACCGAAACCATGAACTCCGCCAGATTTGGATCTATCTTCAAGTTTTAGCCAAATAAAGCAAATGCAACACTAACATCCTCTTATCTCTAAGATGTATCCCCGCTTTTTTGCGAATTGTGGCGGTGCGAATTTTATACGAGAGCTTTGATTAGGCTGGGATAGCTGGGTGAGGCAAATTCTGGCAGAGCATTTGTGTCTTATTCGGCATTTAAAAAAAAAGAAGTTAAGTAGTTGGCGTGTCCTCGACACTCGTTTCGAATTAGTACATCCGTCCATGGCTCGAGCATAAAATCAACTGGTGATAATACTAAGTATATAACAAGGAGACCCGAATACGAGTCGTTGTACCCAAGTTTATCAATTTTAATTGATTTAAAACTAGGGCTCCGCGAAGGCTGGGATAGGAGGTTTTTGGGATAAACTCCTTTATTACTTTTTTTTACGATCCAGGAGGGGTTTTAGATCTCGTTGGTGTGAAGCGTCAGAGGATGAAAATGGCTTTTCCCGATTGGACAGAGACAGGCAGTTAGGAAACGACCGCTGGCTGCGGCCAGCGCAGTAGCTCTCATTCTTCTTCTTCGTCTCTTCAGCTCAAGACTCCAGTTACCTGGTGTTCGGCTCTCTCTCACGGCGGATGATTGCATCGAACACGTACTACTACCTTCGGCCCGGCACTCTAGACCTGACTGGCTACTGCTATGGGATCTCGCGTGGCGTTGCGGATGAGGGGGGGGGGGAGATTACGGTCGAAAGGATGCCAAGCGGCCGCTGGAGAGACGCAGGGGTCACTGAAGCTGTCGTCCCTCTAAGCTCCTTGGAGGACCGCATGGTTACGGAAGCAGAAGCACAAGGTGGTGTCGGGACTTACATGACCAGCTATCTATGTGTGGCGAGAGGATGCGCCTAAGCGCTGGGACTACGGCGTCGTAGTCGGGCATAGGACACCTCGACTGGCACCCTGCACCTTGTCTTCGGTGACGGTTCGGAGTCTCTGCCTCTCGGCGAGGCTGCATTCGAAGCTTTGTCGGTGGAGAGCTACGCGGCGGCCGTGCCTCCGTCGCCCTGTTTGTGATTTGATGATTGGCGAGGTGAAAATCGTTCACGGGAATGTTGCTGCTGATTTTCACGGCGAGGGTCGTCAACGTCGAGCGACCAGAAATCTCGCAACAATTTTCGGACGATATAACGTGCCGCACCCTGATGAAGCTGAAAAGATTCCGCTTTACGATCCCTCGGGTGGAAATGTTGTTCGTGTTTCGATCAAGTCGGTCCTGAACTATGTTTACTATACCTCGGGTCGCCGTCGGCCTCCGGCTAACGTTGTGGTTAGTGCATCGCTGTACTCGGACTCTGCTTCGGGGCCGACTCCACCTGTCAGAAGCAGGGAGCGGCCTAGTCCCAGTCTCCAGGATGAGCGTCTTCTTGACTCTGAGGACGACAGTGACTCCTCCGATGGCAGACCCCTCCAGCATACGACAAGAGTAAAACGTTCCCGGGCCCGCGACGATCTCAATCCTGGCGGTTCCAGCATACGTCGACGTGTGGAGGAGCCCCTGGCTCGCTTGGATGCTCGCTCTACGGTTGAGGATCTCGACAATTTGATGGCACCGGCAGGGGGTCCCACCAATGTTCTGTCACGGATACTATCTGGAGATGAACATCGTGGAGACAGCGCCAAGCAGCAGTTTCGTCCAACGTCTGTGGCGTGGAATATTCACAATCGTTCTGTCTCGAGTAAGTATTCTGCATTAACCCCTGATGTGTACTTGGAATTGCTGCAATGTGATTGCCAAAGCCTGCTTTTGTTGCCACACCCGGCTGTATTGCGACGGTTTTTCTCTCTCGACTTTGGTCAACGTGGATTGTCGATTCGGCACTTTCGTCTTTTGAGTACACTAGAAGCTCGGGAGCTTCGTCATCGCTACAACATGACTGATTTTTCGGCAAAAAATACGCTACCCGCGATGACGGGCCTCAAGTCGCTAGATGAGTTGGTGGATGCTCTCTCGTGTTTGGGAACGTGGTATCGATCGCGTGTTCACCCGATGTTGGTCGTCTAGTGGAGCACGCGCGAGCCTTTGTGAGCACTTTGATTCGCAACCGTGTGGCATTTGACAATGTAGCGGTGGAAGAACTTGCTTACTGGGTTGATGAGCGATTTGAAGTATTTCGGTCATTGCTCGCTCAAGGCGAGAATGATGCTGCGAATATTGTCATCCAATAGTTCTCGTCCACACACGAGTCATATCAACTGCTCCGGCAGAATGTAGCGGAGAGACGCCACGAAGAACTAACCAAGCGGCTAGGTCGATTTGAAGGACATGTCGGATCCGGATCTAGTAGTCAATGGCATTCGAACAAGCGTCCGCGTTCATCTACGGGAGCAGCGAAGGCTGATCGAGTGGTGACTCGTCAAGGCGTGCCCCTGGCGGTACTTAAGTGTGACGCGGTGTCGATCCCTAAATTCGGGTGAATGCACCTGAACCTGGGAAGTCCCAATGATGTGGAGCTTGGTGATACTGGATGATTTGGAGTCTCCTATAAAAACAAGGGTAATGTCTGCGAATGGACGCTGAATCCCGGAAGATAGATCAATGTGGGCGAGTTGCTCCCGTTCCATGAAGTGCAACGGAATGCGAGCGATCCTCCCCAGAATATCTAAGTACGGCGGAACTCGACACTGGCTTACAACCTGGGAGCTGAGGCACTTGTCAGATTCCCCGTTGTTTTCCTGGAATAACGATTCCCAGACTTCGCGTTCCCAGACAAACCTCCCACAAAATTCCAAGAACGACCTCGGCTTGAGGCGTTCCGAGGCTCCAAACCCAAGAACACTTGATTTCACTATGGCATCTTCCAAGATCCTAGGTGTACCCAACAACTCCGAGAAGGTATCCAGTTTGGCGACCCTTCAAGGACAGACCAACACTCCGCAGAAAGATCGCAGTCTCCGAAGGGTCGCTTAGGAAAGATTTCGTCTGCATGTGACCTTTAACCAAACAGAGTTCGTTTTGCTTCGAAGGGCACAAGTGCTTCTTTCACAGCCTGGAAGGCCGTTCTCCACGACAAAATTCTAAGTACTTTAGGTAAGTGATCCACTGCTTCGGCCTGGAAGTGATCATATCTATTCCATATCAGTATATTTGGCGGATTGCAGACCGTCTTTGTTGTATATTTGCGGTCTATTGGGTCTGTGTCGAACTGAAGAAGTTGGCGACAGGGTAGATCGTTTCTTCTCTCGGAGAGGTGGTGCGCGTCCCCAAGATTGATCAAGTGTCTTGGATTTGGACCGGTTAACTTGTGTTTTGGCCTTAGCCTTGGGCCTAGAGAAAGAAGAGAGGGCAAATAAGTATTTGTGTGATTGTATAACGTGTATAACTCTATTGGGTTGGATTGTTCTAGCGTTAGCCTGGCGTAGCTGTCTGATTCACGGGGTCGATACTAACCTCCTGGTGAAAAGAACCGCTACCCAAGGGATACACATCGTGCGCCTGACCAACAGCGTGTACTGGGCAACACACACCCTGTGCCAGCCGAGACGGATCCAAAGCTCTAGTAGCCTGAGGTCTGTCAAGGAGAGCCTATAATTGTTTTCTGGGAGAAAACACCGCATCGCCTCGTCACACAAGGCACTTCCTGTGGAAAATGATAAAGCTCTCTGCATGATGTACCTCCAACCAGCAATGTCGCGGCAACGGCACCCAGTGTGCATTCGAGAAGCGTGGCCACTTCAGGCCCAATCAACTTCCTGATGTGGTTAAAGAGTACATTATCAAGAATTTCGGCGGCTTCAAACCAGAGTTTCAGGATCTGTGATGGGGCCAGGGCATCCAGAGCGGCGCTTCGGAGCCTTGGCAAAATTAGCGCCTGTCGGCCGACCAGGCCTCGATGTTGGATTTGAGTGCTCATGGTAGTTCTCCTGAGGCCAAGGCGAGTGTACGCCCTCGTCGCCAGGCTGTGTTGGCGCAGGAACACGTTCGGATGGCGCATCGCCGATTCGCAGCGACGCACTCGGTCCGACAACGACTTCTGGAGCTGCATCAAGTCAAGGCACAAGAGCGACTTCATGCAGCTTTACTGAATTATGGAATAGAGCCTCCGAATCCCTTCCCTAGAGTCGAAGACGACGTGGTGTCTCCACGCTACCTTATTGATCGGGAAAAACAGCGTGCATTCAATGCCTACATCCGGCGTTCCGGTTGCACGCTACCTGAATTTGTGCGTCTACTTCACAACGAGTCAGCTGACGATCCTAGACCGAACAAAGCTCTTGAAATTCCAAGCCACCATGCGGCGTGGAGTTCGTACCCTCACGGTAAATTATGGTAAGAGATTGTTCGTCATGGAGTTCGGCCTCGTTGGAAGTCACAGGAATCTCGCAAATCAACACCACCCCAGAACCATCAGTCCGCAATTCAGGCTCTCAACCTGCTCGCAAAAAATATCAGGAAGGGGCAAGATGCAAACCAGTACCTGGGACTGGATATCGACCTTCTTGATATGCTGGACGACATCAGGTGTAGCCCTTTCGGGGCGGTGGCTAAAGGCTCTTTGGACTTGGGCATCGACGCTCGCGTTATCCATGACCTCTCATTCCCGCCAGGAACTTCAGTGAATGATGAGACTGTACCCGGGGATACTATCGACATCGTGTATGAGGGCGCATCCATGGTTGCACAACGGCTGGTTAGTCTGCGATCAACCCACCATGATACCAAAATATACCAAAATGATGACTGGAGACGTGAACTCAGCTTTTCGCCACATTCCCATCCATGCTGACTCGGTTGGGCGCTTTGCAGGCACCGTACCTGAGCTCGGCATCCTAGTTATTGATTTGTGCTGCCCGTTCGGTTGGACAGACTCTCCGGGATACTATTGGGTCGGAGGTGCAGCGATATAGCATCTATACGAGAACACAGCACCGTCCTGGGATGGTATGGAGCCAGAAGAGTGTGAACCATTTAGTTGTTCGGCGTGGTGTGATGATTACATCTGCGTCGAACCTGACGTAGGTACTCGGCTGGCCGAAGCCAACATAGCGTTGCGGGCTTCGATGGTCGACGTACTGGGCTCTTTGGCGTGCAATGACGACAAGTTCTCCCTGTGGTTTATCAACGGCAAAGCACTGGGGTTCAATTGGTCACTACTCGATGGAACGCTGTCCATGCCCTCTGAAAAAATAACGAAGGCACGTACTCGCGTTCTCGAAGTGATCAACGGGACTCATACGACGAGGCACCAGCTGGATCAACTGCTAGGCAGTCTGCGCCATGTCACCACGTGTGTTCGGCCTGCAGCAGCGTTTTTCCAGCGCGTTGCGACGCTACATCGCTCTGCGACTCGCTATGGTCGGGTTAAGATCACCGAGGACGTGCGCGATGACTTGAGATGGTTCCTCGTAATTTTGAAAATCGCACCGCTGAACGGCGTGGCATTTGACCGGTTTGTGGATAGAGTTGATCCTGACTTCACTATTCTTATGGACGCATGCGACGTTGGGTTGTGCGCTGCCTTTCCGGCTCGAAAGGAGTATGTTCTGGTCCAGTTTGATGAAGAAGAGCTGGGCGCAATATCGGAGCTCAAGCATCAGACAAACGACTTCGATATCAATGTGCGTGAGTTGCTCAGTGCAGTATTCGCAGCAGCGGTTTGGGGAAAACACTGGCGTTCCGAGTGCTCGTACCCACATCATGTGCGGTTTGAAATCGACAACCAGTCTGCCGTCACCTGGAACAACAAACGATCGAGCAAAAATCCCATCGCCCAACTTCTTCTACGATCTCTGGCATTGATGGAAGTTCAATACAATTTCTACTCGTCGGCTCGACATGTTCCGGGCGTGGAGAATGGCTTTGCAGATGCGGGCAGCAGGGTGTGGCAATCGCGGGTACACCGAGAACGTTTTTCTAACCTGTCTGTTTCTTGGACGCAGGTGCACGTACCAACCGAATTGAGGAAGCCCTCGAAGCTTTGGGGGCATTATTGCGCGCTGGCGCTCTAGCCGAGACGTCAACGAAGAGCTACGCGTGAAGCTGGAAACAGTGGGAAGACTGGTGCGCTTTCACGACCTACTCACCGTGGCTTGGCCGGGATACCATCGACAAGAACGCAGCGCAACTTGGAGCGTTTGCTGTGTTTTTGTGGCGGTACGGTATGAATCATCGGGGCCAAGGGAATTAGTATTCGATAATTTGTAGGAAATTGCGCGCTGTACGATGGTATCATCGCAACTATCAAGACTACGATCCAGGTGTTAACGCGAGCCATGCAATACTTCTTCGCGGAATTCGTCGCTTTACGGACCCCGTCTGCAAAAAGCAGCCAATTACGGTGCCTCTGCTTCACGCGGCTCGAGCGCTCCTGAACCTCACTCAGCGACGGCATCAATTGCTTTGGGGTGGACTGCTTCTTGCGTACTTCTTTCTTCTTCGACGCTCCGAATATTTGTTCATCGGCAAGACGTGTCACGACTACATCCTACGGCTGGGCGACATTGGCTTTTAGGACGAGCAGGGCCAGACAACAAGTCCCCGCCATGCCCACATGATCAGCATCAAACTGACTGGCGCAAAGAATAACAAATACGGCCGTGAAGAACTTCGGTACCTTCATGCGTCTGGAGATGCTATTATATGTCCGGTATTAGGCGCTCGGTGGGTATACAAAGCTGCTTCGAGTTACGGTACGAGCTCTGGAGATCCGGCACTAGCAACATCGCGTCACGGCGGGATCACTTCAAGGATGATGGCGGAGGTCATAAAGCAAGCTGCAACACAAGCGGGCCTCGACCCAACACGGTACGCGACCCACTCCATCAGAATTGGAGGAGCCACCAAGCTTTGGAATGCGGGTGCCGACCACCTGGTCATCAAGGTGCTAGGCAGGTGGCTTTCGAACGCTTTTGAAGAATATCCGGTGCTGTCGGCAGAAGGCGCGCGTGATATTGCTCAGTTAACGTGCTAGTTCGAGTGGCAAGGCTCCATCTCTGTCACTTCCGAGCGCGCAGAACGGTTCAGGGGATACGTCAATGCTCGTGCTTCGATGTTATGTTCGCCGGTCTAACAAGGGGGCGACCACTCCGCCGACAGCAAGTGGCGATGCTGGGGGACGCACGTTAACATTAGTGCTACTGTGTTGCCCGGCAGCAATTTGTACCCGACTCGAGCATTGCACAGTCGCAGGAGCACCGTACAGTCACAACTCGAGCTTCGGCACAGTTGTCGACGATGAACTTCGGCTCGAGCATCAACTCAGCCGCGAGTACTAGTCATGGCTACACTCGAGCCTTTGGCACAGTTGCTAGCAGTGAGGGATCGACTCGAGCATGTGCACAGTCGACGCGTCACGAAACAGCCCAACTCGAGCCTCGGCACAGTTAAGTTTGAACCCAGCATGGAATCGACATTATGGCATCAGGGCACGGAGCAGCACTTGATTTTGGGGCGGCGCCACTCCGCACCCTAATCTCATACAAGCTCGATTGCCCCACTGTCGTAGTGTTAATTGTTGGAAACATTCATCTCCTGTGCCTGCTTCCCAGCCGCAGCATCTGCCCGGTCATTCACCTCAACGGCGAAGATGCAAGATACGACTAGGCAGTAATTATACACAGTAATGAAACGAACCTTGCTCGAGATCTAGCTCGTGGAGAAATGAAAATGCTTGCATTTGTATGCTACTACAGTCCTGTAGTAGTCCGTTCGATTCAATCATTTACTTTACATCACTCCATCCGATTCGGTATATGCTACTGACCCATACCAGTTCAAACTGCCCACGCATATTAACCTTTTGGAGGCCAGTGCGGCACCGGGGTCATACCGGTTTCTGGAAATGTACCAGTTCGGTGTCAAGAGAGGTCATATTTTGACTTGACGTACCACGGATATAATCCTATTTGGTCTGCGATAGCAGCACTAACGTTGCTTCCTATCCCAGTAAAAAGAGTACTTGCATGTACAACCTTTTTGCCGTGTCTATAATGGTGATCGATGATATGGAGCCGATGTAGCCAGACAACGAGTACGAATCCAAACAAAACTCCGTAATCAATCGATCTTTCCACTGCAATGCGTCAAAACGTTTGATCATTTAACTTGTCCTAGCGATTTTGCAGCGCAAATTTTGATCTAGCACAGAATTCGAGTCAAGAAACACGATTAGTTAATTCAAACTACGGGCATCTCCTGCGCCTGCTTCGCACCCGCAGCATCTGCCCAGTAACGCGTCTATATGATATCCACCGGGGGCAGCCTAAACAGCAGCACTAAAGCTATCAATCAAGCATGGGGCCGAAGCAGCACGACGCAGGGCTCGCTGCCACGCGCGCTACACACACCAACTCACATAGCACATTTAAACAGGTACATGAAACGAACGGGGTCCCGCATAAAATACCGACCACTTCGGGAATTTTTTTTTTCGCGGCAGGGACCCTTTCCCTCTTCGCGTCTTTCGTGTAGGTCAAAATGAACTACTTAAGTACTATCTCCGCCCAAATACTTCTTGATTGCAGCTACAGTAGCTGAGCTTCTACACGAACACCATTATCAATGCCCACATACAAGATCTCTGTGGACGGATCCTACTCAAATGGGGGGGGCACCGACGTGAGAGATATAGCGTCTATTCTACGCCGTATAGTGAGTTGGCCTCTATGAGCACCTCTCAACCATGTAGCAATCAACAATCAGTAGGTACAGCAATTAGTTAAGACTTAAATATCCCCCATAAGTAAAGTTCCATACTGAAGTGCGGCGAATGGTGAGAGCGCCGGGGTCCGACGGGGTCCCGCCATCCGTTTCACATGTACGACAATTACAAGTTGTGCTTTTGCAAGATTCGGAGATTGATGGATCCCATAGCATCAACGCAGATATTCAGTTAATTTTAGTTCGCAGGCTTCAGTTACCGGCTTCAGTTTACCGGAGCCAGTCACCGGGCGGACGCCGAACTAAGCTGTGTTGGGCTGGCCACAGCACTCCTCCGGGGTTACTGCTATCCCAGAATAAAAAAAAATTATACTGGGATAGGAAGCAACGTGAGTGCTGCTATCGCAGACCAAATAGGATTATATCCGTGGTACGTCAAGTCAAAATATGACCTCCCTTGACACCCAACTGGTATGGAGGCTGGTCCAGTTCATTTGCAAATTCGTCGAGTTAAGATTCGTTTCATTGATTTTGCTCTACGTCGTGACCATAGTTGTGATGATACATTGTCGGACAGATTCGGCGGCTGCGAAGCAGGCGCAGGAGATGCCCGTGGAGCGTGCGGATTGAGTTTATCAATGGGCTATTGACAATGGCGGTCAAAGGTAAGTTAACTAGTCCTATCCCAGCCTTCGCGAAGCCCTAGTTGACACGATGATCACTTCAAATCCGGCTGGTTTCATCTCATTTAATCTTTTATTTAAACCCAGAAATGATCCAGACGACCCCCAACGGTGGCTGTTAGTCGCGAGAATCTGATGGTAGATTCGCCAGGATGATAAATAGTAAGACCTACATAGGAGTATACTCTGGGGTTTTAACTTTATCAGAAAATCTGATGAAGTTAAAAACGAAGTTTGCTATTACAATGTTGTGCTTCTGGCCCGAAGAAGTTAAAAAAATCTAGGTTTTCTAAATACGTAGCCTTTTTCATACTACGTGTAGAAGGGCAGATCGCATGCTATGTTACATATACACACTATGGTCAATCGTCAGCAATGCCGCTTGTGGTCGCTTCGCACCAGTTTTGATCTTCTCCTCAGTTCGAACTTGTATTGCAATGGCATTCTGTTTCCTTGCCCACTCCGATTCACGGGGTGCTAATAAATTCCAAGTAAAATTTGATAATTTCATTGCAAGTGGCTAGGAAAAATGCAGAGTCCGGTATTTACATACATGCACGGACGTGAGCAAGCTAACACAGAATTTAAGAGTGCACCGGGAAAAAAATAGTTTTGCCCAAAAGTGCTTGTAGCATGAATGTCATCGCAACAAGCAGCGCCTTCAGAGTGGAGTCAGTAGTTGCAAGTGGATGCAGCGCGAATGAACTTCATGTCCTCGAAAGTCTGAGCATATTAATCGTTACTCGGAAATCAGAAAAAAATACTGGAATTAGGGACGGCCCAGACACACGGCGCAGCGCTGCACTCAGGTACTTCGGCCACACCCACTTGGGTCAGCTCCTAGTATTAACAGCTTTGTTTGCTTTTCAGTGTTTCTTCACTCGATACAGTGTACATGATCTTGCCGGTATGTCGGTCTCAATGTCCAAGTTGAGCTTGGTCTGCAGCTTCGCATAGGACATCACGTAGGACGGCAGAATCTCGGTCATCAAATTCCTAGTGATACCAGCGTATAATATGTTGCCGTGAAAGTACCATTGGCGATACTACCCCTTTGCCTGGCTGTAGCTGGCCAAATCCGTTAGAGAATTCGAAAGTGATTCAATTACGGTAGAGAGCTGAGAGTGAGGATCAACCATAAACGTCAACCCTTGATCGCTATCAGTCAGATAGCCAACCCTTCAGCTCGAGTCCAAGCTGGTCACTCTAACAAAATCCGCAAGCAAGCTTGTCATGATATTGGTGGTACCTGAAATTAACATTACATTTTATTCAACAAGTCAACTAGAAGCTCCAAACTGGACGCTAGTATCTCTGAAAAACAAGACAAGAATTGGTTACGTTGCTTTGCCAAGTCATTCTGTTTTCGGATATTGCACTGTGCATCCGTTTGTCATGCGGTTTTAATGCAGTGTTTCGTGCTCGTAGATGCGAGTTTCTTAAATCGTATTTCGACGCTCAGAAATGACACTTTTTAAAAGCGCTGGCATGTGACGATGGTAATACCTATTGCATCACGAGGAGCCTCGAGACGACCGCTGCTTGCAAATAGGACACAAATGGTGTCTGGATGAGGAAAGGTAGAAAGTCGCGAGCATGTCCAACCCATTTTTCGGAAGAGTCCAAGCACAGCAGTGCCGTTATAGAAGAACTCGGCGATTGCGGAGACTTTATGTCAAAACCTGGCCTGAGTTAGGAAGTCGAAACGTTGACCAACGACACACAGTTTCTCGAGAGCGTGTGAACACTCCTCAGGTGAAGAAGATCCTCTCGAAGAATTCTTGCGCACTTACCGAGCAGGTCACCAGAAGCATCGAGGCGGAGGTAGCGAAAACTTCTAAAAAACGGTAAACTCGATGTATTGGGGGGGTACAGCTGTGATACTCATTGTCAGTGCGGCATCGGTAGAATTGCATGGAATACCTATACAGACGCACATGGCAACTGATTTAAGGCACGTTGCTGATTCATAGCATTGTTGATTTACAGGATCAACGTTTTGTTGTGTGCTCTTTCATGATCGCTCTGATATTGTTTTTACTCGCTCCTCCATTGCCATCAAGCGAGCCGCCGCCTGCACGTGGGTGGTCACGCGGGATTTTAGCCAGGAGCTTATCATCGATATCCCAAACTGCCCAAATCCACTACTATCACAGCCGCCGTCGACGCCCAAGACGATGGTGTCTGAAGAACATTCGAAACGTACAATGCGTTGCAGACATCCACAACGAAAATGACGACTGTGGCTTCTGGTCGTCGTCATCCACAAGCGCACGATTGATCCAGTTCTTCGCGAGAATTTGAATTATCGGCAATACAGCGACGGAAATCACTTGGTTCCAGCGGGTAAGAGACACGAAGCTGAGGATGTACAGCGGGTAGACGAAGGGGAGCATTGGTACTCTTCGAGGTCCTCGACAAACAAGGACGGGTCCGCCCGCCACCGAGGACCGGAAATGTACGAGAAGCATACGCCAATGACCAACACAAACGGAGGTCCGGCGATAAGCAGACCGAACGGAAGAGGGAAGGCGATCAGGTAGAGGCCCAAGATGGCAAGGATGAGAACTCGCCGTCAATAGCAAGACGACAGCAATTTGCCGGTTCGATAACTTGAATTTGGGAGCGCCATGACCCATCTGCACTAGCGCTGACACACCCATGAAGCACATGGCGGCCCATGATCGGACGAAAAATACGTCGTTCTCGTAAACTCCGGCTTCGGGTGGAGCCAAAGGTGGAACTTCTTAGATCAGACTGAGGGCGAGACATGGTGGGGGTCTCAGCAGGCAAACGAGTAGCACTCTAGGCGTACTCAGTTCATTCATGTAGTTTCCGAGCTGCTGAAGTCGCTGGTCCGAGTAGCGTCCTTGATACTCCGCCTGAATCGATATCCATGCCTTCAGCATACGTCGTCGAGCACTTGTTACTCGTCCCGCCATGTTGGCCGATGTCCTTCTGTGATGAAAAGCCAATTATAGTGGAGCGACCAACTTCAAAATTTGATGCCATCTGGAAATTATACTAGAATCCACGTCGGGTTTATTAGTCGAGTCTACATGTATGGCACGATACACGAACGACTAGAGGTGAATGCACCTCAGTAAGGGACGTGTTTAACTAGAGGCGATGCTTTGGTCTGTGAGGACAGTGTAGATTTCCGTTGAGAGGGCATATAAAAATACAAAAGTGTGACGTAGTCTAGAGTAGAACATACAACATGAAAATGGACCAGCTGTGAAAGCCTAATGCAGCATCTCCGTAGCATTAAAAAATGGAAGTTGCCGTGCTAAAAGCGAAGTCATGACTTTTTCCATTGGTCATGATATCGGCGTGCGAGGCTTCTGGAAAATTGCGACGCTTTCTTTTAGTTGTGAAAGTTTGCGTAATAGAGTACAAGTAACGGACAGTCCGCACAGCTACTCAGCTCGTCTTGTTGTGATTACCGTTCGACTTTGCTGCGGTTCGTCACGCTGTGATTAGAAATACTAAGCATCTTACAGAGCAAGTGGAACCGACCTCTCCCGACCAAAACAAGTTTTAGTGAGGCCGATACGTTGCTCCAACATAGTGATAGCAAGGTGTTCGTACTGTATTTGAGCTTCTGATACGATTGTGGGCTGAGCATGGGGTTGTTCATGCTGATAGAAGAGGTTGCCACAACTTGTAACTTGTGTGACACAAGTCGTTCGAGACAAGCTTGCCCTTACCGGTATCTGCCCTGCCGGTTATACATGCATGTTATCTCGAGGCACACTTCCGCGATCTGCTGCGCGATCTGCTTCTACAGATGTCGGCACTTACAGTACTCTTCGGTAGAACTCCCATTTTCCGATTTTCCAGAACCGACGCAGATGAAGTTCTGCACTCTCTTCGTCTTGGCTGTCATTGACATCGTCTCCGCGGCGCACGCGGCTTCTATTGCCCACGATAAAGTCGAGCCGCTTGCCCAGCCCGAGCCTGTCACGGTCTCGGAAAAGACTGGCGTCATGTTCAAGCCGCAGATCGAGTATAAGCTCGGATGCACCTCATTCCCCGCTGTGAACACCGCCGGCGAAACCAGCAAGGGACTACCAGCCGATGGTCTTGAGCTTTGTGATAAGGCTCATTTGGGTTCGCAGGTCTACGGTCGGGCTACCTGGTTCAACGGCGTTTGTACGCGTGGTACTGCCCGAAATCTATCATTTCTACACCTTTGTGTGGACTACTTCGTGATCAAATCCGAAAGTCGCAAAATTCATATTGCAAATTTCTATTAATAGATATTCTATTAATATATAATAGTTAGCAACTTCAATTACATGGAATTACGGCAATCAAAGTTGGACCAGAGGCTACTACTACTGGTCCGACGAGCCCTGTTACATGCCGTACACCATGCCCTCGTTGTTCGCCGCCTTGGTGACGAAGTCGTGACAGTGCAGCTCCATGCTGACCACCAGCGCTGGGGTCATCACGTTCATGTTAGCGGTCGCGGCGCGCTCCAGGATGTGGAAATGGAGAGGATCTCACCGTTGCTGTCTGGCTCACGCGAGCGATCGTAGATTGCGTGGCGATCCAGAGCCAAGTCTCGCTTAATGCGGGATTTTAGGACGCTGCTTCTCGAGGACGGTGTGGCGACTAACGCGGCCTTGGAGGGACATCTGCGAAGAAGAAGGCGAATTGCGAAGTGATCTCCCCTCGGTCGGCGTCGGCTATAGTGCGCGCAAAACCGCGCGCCCTTGCTTTTGGCGCGAGCACAGCACGCCAGCTTACGTAGCCATGGAGATCTTGGACCTCTGGTCCTAACAGCTTTACGCTGCCACAGGTGTAGTTGCAGAGGTCGTGAACTCGCACAGCAAACACGTCAACGCAGTGCTCGCCCCACGTAGCAGATTTGGGATTGCGGGAGCTCAGGCTCCTTTAGCAGAAAACGCGTTGTACAAAACTCAACTAAGTATCGAGTGGAGTGGGTGACTACAGTCACCATACAAACTACTAGTTTCTGAGGCTCTGTGCAGCACAGGACTCATACTCCCCCGAAACTTGTAGTCTGCATCTTCAGTCTTCTTGATCCTCGTCAGCTTCATCAGTGCACAGGCACTCAACACCCAATTGCTTTCGGTGTTTGCGAAACTTGTTCTTCCCCAGCGCCTTGGTTAGAGCATCCGCTGGCATGTCCGCTGTCGGCAAATGCTTGACCTGCATGTAACCAGCATCCACATAGTCAATGACCTTGTAAATCGCCAAGTCCAAGCACTTGATCTTGTGGTGGCTGCTTGAGTGTGTCATCAATTGTACCGCAGACATGTTATCTGTCCACAACGTTGCCGGAGACTGCACAGGCACCTCCAACTCGACTAGCAGGTTCTGTAGTCATCGAATTCGGTCGGCACATGAGCTTGCAGCAGTCAGCTCTGCACTACAGGTGTCAGTGAGAGCAGTATATTGATGCTTACTCTGGTAAGCAATGACACAACCACCAAGTTTCACCACTTGACCCGAAATTGAGCGACGAGTATCAGGATCATTTCCGAGGTCAGCATCTGCGTAACCAACAATCGAAAGTTCACCTTTGGCATTTTTCATCGGCAAAACCAACCCGTACGAAGCAGTTCCTTTCAGATACGCCAACACACGCTGCGCCAGTGCGTAATGTTCTTCTGTGTAGCAGCTCATGAACTTACTCAGGATAGAAACTGCGTTTGCAATATCAGGTCGCGTACAGCGCACCAAGTATTGCAGCGAACCCACAATTTGACGGTAAGGCAAATCAGACCGATTCATCTCAGGTCCATACGGCGCTTTGGGCTTGGCTGGTCTAACATTCATATCCATCGGAGTACGTGCCACACGAGCATCACTGGCACCAAACTTATTGACGAGGTGACGAATGTATGACTCCTGCGAAAGAGTCACTCGATCCGCCTCAACTTTCACATCCATAGCTAGCAGCAGGTTCACCTCCCCCAAATCTTTCAGCTGGAACTCCTTCTTGAGCTCCTCGATGAGCCACTCAATGTGCTCGGGCTTCGCTGCAATGACCACATCATCGACGTAGACTGTGAGAAAGATTGGAGTTTCGCCAATCCACTTCACGTAGACACCATCTGCAATAACACTAGCCTTGAAGCCAAGTTTCACCAGGTTTCTTCAGAGTTGCGTTCCAGATGAGGGGAGCCTGCTTTAAACCATACAGACTCTTCTTCAGCAAGCACACACGGCCACTCCCATCGTCAAACAGCTCTGGCTATTCCATGTACACATCGACATCCATACAGCCATTGAGAAATGCTGTAGTGAAGTCGATTTGGCGGAGATCCAGATCGTAGTAGAATGTCAATACGATCACCGCACGAATCGCTTCCATACTGACTACCGGCGAATAAATCTCCCAATAGTCTGACCCAAATACTTGCTCAAAACCGCGAAGTGTGAGCCTCGCTTTATACCGCTCAATCTCTCTGTGCTGATTTCTCTTGATCACGAAGACCCATCGACTGGTCATAACCTTGGTATTTGGTGGACGATCCACCAATATCCACGTTTCGTTCGCTTGAATGAGACCGAACTCAACTTCCAGCGCTCTCAACCATTTATCTCGATCAGGACCAGAGATTGCTGCACGAACCGACTTAGGCAGCTTGTCCATGGTCGAAATAAAATAGTTTGCCAGCGAATAGCCATGAAGCCGTGTATTCTTCCGACGGAGACGTGTCGATCGCCGGAGAGGCTCACTCGGTGGCTTCTTCGAACGACGAGGCTGGTTCCATTCGACCAGGCCAGGCTTGCGCTTGTACTTGGCCAAGCCAGGCTTGCGCTTCTTGCGACTATCATCTGACTGCAAATCACTATCCACATCCTGCTGCTGATCACCATACTCGGCCATATCATCACTGTCAGGTAAGTTATCGTCAGAATTCTCAGCATCATCACTCAGGGCCAGCTCCCCCGTACATTTGCGCTTCTTGGACTTTGAGGCGGCTTCCACCACCTCAGTCTCCCCCGTACCGCTAAGTCTCGCTCTCTTCTTGCCAACCACTCCGTCTTTCTCCTCCCGATCGTCCATGCTCTCGATATCATCGGAGTCATGGGATGCCGCGACAACCTCGTCGTCACGGCTGGGACTCGAGTAGTCGTGCAGAGGCAGCTTTACATGCGGAATTGGAGCGGGTAGCACCACACCTGACTGATTAGCGTAGACCTTCTCAATAACTGACTTACATAGTCACCTGAAACAGTCCACATCTCGCGAAACTTCACGTCGCGCGATTCCACAATACGACCCGAGACAAGATCCAGCAAGCGATAACCCGTCGTCTCTTCTGGATAACCAAGGAAAAGTGCCTCGCGTGCTGTTGGGTCGTGCTTGCCTTTCCGCCTCTTCTTAGGTACAAAATACGTAGCAGCACACACCCCCACACGCAATCCAGACACATCAGGCTTCCGACCTTCGTAGAGCTCGTACGGCTTACGACCCTGATTCGCTTTCGTAGACGAGAAATTGTAAACAGTCACTGCAATTTCAGTCCTTCTCCCCACAAACTTGTCGGCAATCCTGTTGTCACTAACATCGTGCGAACAGCGCGCAGCATCACACTGTTCATCTTCTCGACCAGACTATTCTCTTCAGGAGTGTACGTATTTGTGCATACTGGACGAATCTCGTTCTCCCGCATAAACTTCTTCAGCTCTTCGTTCTTGAACTCAGATCCTTGATCAGAACCGATAAATCGGACGCGCCGTCCGCGCTGATGTAGCTGCAGAATCAGTGTCTTCAAGTTACCAGCACTCTGAGATTTGTGCTGCAACAGGAAGCCCACACATAGCGAGAGTATTCGTCTTCTACAAGTTGGAATTTCGTATTTCCACCTGCAGATCTCTCCCCATAGCCGCATACATCAGACATCAGCTTTTCGCAGCAGCAGATTGAGCGTCGTGGCCGCAGCTTTTTGTAGGACATTCTGCGCGACGTTGCCAACGTGCAACTCAAGCAGTCGACAACTTCACCACTCTGCTCACTGGGTGGGATCTGCATTCCGGTCACATGTTCATCACGATAGACCTCTTGCAACGCGTCAGCATTTACATGTGCGAACCGAAGGTGCCACTGAAACAGCGAATTATCAGCAGCCCTAGCAGACGCAATGACGCGAGCAGGTGCATGGATACTTCGAGTACGATAATACCCATGACTTTTCTCGAACAAAATTGCTGTTGAACCTTTCCACATCAGACGCTGAGGGGGGCCATTCTCAGGATACCTGGACTCGCAACGCCAGCCTTCCTCCTCCAAAGCATTTACACTCAGCAAATTCACGTGACAGCCGGGGACATTGCGAACCCCTGTTAGGGTGTACCGTAGCTCACCGCCACCGCTCCCATGGGAATCCTCTGGGGATACAAAGGATATCTCCAACTCTGATACCAAATGCTCCCTAGTGATTTCACCGGTCCAGGACTCATGTGGTGTGTTGGTCTCCACATAGTGCGGAAAACGCAACATAAGCTCGCGGTCAGCACACGTGTGCGTAATTGCAGCTGAATCTAGTATCCACTCCAAAGAATCAGACCCGTTCGGCGATACAGCAGCAGTAGACCCTGTGCTTGTTACAGCACACGTATTCTCCACTCGTCCAATCATTCCCAGGGGTGATGGCTGTGGAGGACCTCCTTTCGCCAAGAGCACGACGAGTATCATGAATCTCCTGCAGCCAGGAGTCCATTGTCTGCTCGCGGGAATAGGTAGCATGGAAAAACTCCTTCATAACCCAGACATAATTAGAAAACTCACGTTTTGTGTGATGAGCTTCCAAATCTTCCCACATCTCTCTGCCACTTGGAAGATCACACATTCTCTCTGCATCCTCCACTTTTGCGCGACGGAGCAAGGTGTCCTTTACAAAGAAATCCAACTGGTCATACTGCTGTTGAGCAGGGCCAGCTAGAAGAGGACGAACGATGCTGCCATCCACGAGACCCCACGCATTGAATCGGTGCAAATAGACCTTGACTTGGGCACGATACAGGTTAAAACTGCCCTCCATCTTCGGAGGCGTTTTGTTCACGTCGGTCGACGAGCGCGGTAGCACCACAGGTTGTTGCACAGCGTTTCGAGCGGGAACGTAGGTGTTCACAACAGGAACTTGGGGAGTCCCAGGTACATTCGGAGGAGGAACTACACCTCCAAACTGAGGCACTTGCGGTCCAACGGGAAACGCTCCTGTCGGAGCCACTGTTACAGCAGGCGACGGCGGCTGCAGAACGGGGAATAATATTCTACTTTATCCTGTTCATGTTAAAACAACTTCAAAGTACATTGTTACCAATATTAGTTCAGATCATCCTAATGCTACATGAATGCGGCACGTTCAGTTTAATACTTGATAAATGGCAATAACACACTTGGACGAATCGAAGCTGGGAGTTTTTGTTGTTGTTAGATATTCAGGCGATCCGGACGAAGTCTGTGTGCGGCTGCGCCATGTTTTATCAAACAGAGTTTGAATACTCCTACTTTTCTGTACGCCCCGGATTCCTGTAAGAGAGGAAGCCCGGGCGGACATCGTCAACGCGAAGGACAAACACCCGGTGTATCCAACTCCTACACGCGATCGAGATCTGCTAGACCTCAGCCTTAACTTATCAAACTTGAAGCAAATTGCTGTCTTCATGACATCTGCGAATCTGCCACCCTACGAAGGGCTAACGCCAGCTCCAACTCGACGAGTCTGGACAGCGGAGGCAGCTCGTCGAACGGAAGTGTTAGTTTTTACTAGCCGAGATGTTTTTAGCTAGAACACTTCCTTTTACGAAAGTTTATCGTACGAATAATAATAACAGCAACTCCGGTTGAAGTGTACTCATAATTGCTGTCGACTTCCGAGGGAGAGTATGGGGTAGAGCTTGATTCATTGGCTAGAAGGTTACGCGAAACGCTAGTTGACTGTCATTTAGCAAAAGCCAGTGTCACCCTGATGGCCCCAATGCTGGTGAAGGTTTTTGCAGTGTTTTTGCTGATGTTCCTCTGCGTCCAGGGCATGACGTTGACTCTGTTCGGCAAGCCCAGCGATACTCTGCGTACGATCAACATCGACGCGGTGACGCAGAGGTGCTACAATATCTGCAACTGCTTCAAAGGGCCCAACATATCGGCGACGTGGCAGGGGTCAAGCGCAACACCAACGTCGTCTTCTACAACAATCCGAGCTGCCAGACGCGCCATGCAGTGGGATCCGGGACTCCTGACGGCGCGCTCTACTTCTCCGATGCCAAGTTCGACAAAACAGTGAAGAACTTCATGATCTGGGAAACCGGAACTTATGCCACGAACGGGGTCTTGGACGCGTGCTATCTCGACGAGAGCGCAACGGTCAACTCGACAGCCGAATCATTCGCTGTATGATGCAGCAAAAGCCACTCTCACGGACAACAGTTCACCTTCAACTATCGGACACTGAATTCCGTTTCATGTTCCCCATTCATAAAAAAACTATTTTTTTTGAAAGAATAACACCAATACCTGGAACACCTCATCTCGTATACTTAGTATCCAGTTCTGCGCCTTCGAATACAGATAAGAGCGTGTTCAGTGAACGACCAGTAACCGATGTACCTGCAGCAACCTATCCAGTATAACATATCACAAGAGTACTATGCAATTATGGTTTGTTTACTGTCGTTTATGGTATCTTCATGGGCCACCATAACGATTTCATGCATATTTTCGGATTGTTCATGTGTTTATACACGGGTTACCCTGCAAATTCGGTTGGGCAGTTAGCCTGGAAGCGCTAAATATTTGAATGCACGTATTTTTTCTGGTTTTTTCGCCGCCTGTAAGTTTCCGAGCACACCATGCAATCTAAGAAATATAGGATTCTGCCTGGCATCAGCGCACGTTTTAAAGGCAGGAAGGGATAAAATTACGTTGATTAGCTAGTTGTTGATAACCGTTCTACTAACTACAAAAGAACTAAAGTTAAAACTAAATCCGTGGAGTCCTAATCCAACGAGCAGGAGAAGGTAGAATCACCACGTTGGGTTTTTCAAACCCAAGAGTTGAAGTACCAATTCGTCGAGAGAACTGGCAATGCCTTTGAAAAGAAGCAATCAAACTTGGTACACTTGGTTGTACAGTAGTAGATGCAGATGCTGCGGCTGCGAAGCAGGCGCAGGAGATGCCCGAGTACATCGTTTCCCTGTAAGTGCATCCGTACAAGCTAGCTTCGAACTGCGAGACCCCCCGGGTCCACCACCCGGGTCCCCATAATTTTGCGACTTTCTTGGTACGAAGTAGGCTGCACAAAGGTGTAGTGTCGGGGTTGAAACTCACGACTGGCAAAATGCCGTGGTGTGGATCAACAACCCCGCCCTGGCTTCTCCCAAGGTTACGGGATTGTCGACGTCCAAGAGGTCCGAGACCGACTACATGAAGCCCGTTACGATGGAGACGTTTACGTCGGAGGAGTCCTACGACAAACTTACCACCGGGCTGGAAAAGTTCTTCAATGGCACCAGCCCCAAGCTCACGAGCACACGAATTTTGGGCCCGGTGTTTTTAAGGCCGGCAACTGACCCGGGAGTGTTTCAAGATCTCGTCATGTGGGACCGACTGCCTGCCCCAGCGCAGACGGCGCTCAACGGACCAGACATCGGGCGAGTCTCGTTCAACGACGACAGATTTCAGAAGAAGCTCAAGGAGGCGTGGCCGTTCTGAAGTTAGTGCTGCGGCGAAAGAGGACCACAAAGGAGGATATCGAGTTAGTTCTCACGAAAAATGGTTACTTACCGGTATCCGATATCATTCATCTGTTCAGTTTTGCTTCATTTCTGTATCAAGCAAGAATGAGCTTGCTCGCGCTGCTCCTCATGAGCCAAGCCAACTGAAACACGGCAGAGTACAAGCATTCTATCGTCGAAATCCACGGCAACTTCTACTGCTGCTGACGGGCACGTAGCGTGTGTTTCCTCCACAACCCAAGAGTGCCCTTCGCCGACGGCGTCAGCTTTAGCTCGTCTCTGCGAGACAAACAACACCAACAGCATCACCATTACAATCAGCCTCCAACTCACCACCAACTACCAGCAAGTTCAACCTACAGCGTTGTGGACCCCTCTACGAGCAAACTCTCCGATGGCAGGAGTTCGAGCTTCACCGACTCGAACTTGTCGGCCGGTCCAGCACGATACAACTCCTTCAGCTGCTCCGCCGAGCACTCCGTCTTGATGTGGAAGGCTGCCGAGCCACGCGACATACACAGCACATGAGTCAGTCTCTCCAGATCACCACATGCAGCGAGTCCGCAAGGACTTGAAACCTACAGAAGCTGGGCGTGCATGCGTCCGTCTGCAGCACGACGCCCAGGAGCGTTGGCGGCTGCTGCAGCAGCGGGGCCACGTTCACCTCCTCGTGGACCTCAGTCACGATGGAGCGGAAGAATTCGTCTCTGGCCGCGACCTCCAGACGTCTCCTCTCGTCTTCATTGCCTTCGTCCTCCATCGTCCGCAGCACGTCCTCCGTCAGCTGGATGTGTGACGGCTCCGGGTGGCCCCCGGGTGTGTCCAGCAGGTCTTGGTAGAGCCCCACGCTCTTGCTGCGCTTGATGAGCGCCACGTGGGCGTCCGCCGTCTCCAGCACCGCCGCCACGCCCACTTTGCGCGACAGGAAGGCGAAGGCGTCGCCCTCTTGCAGCTGGCATCCGTCCTGCAGCAGCCGCGGCGCGAGCTCCGAGCAGCACGTGCCCAGGTACGACGCGTAGTCGGTCAGTCCCCAGTCCAGTTGCAGCGAAGAGTGACGGTCACTCAGCCCCTGCAGGCGGAACTTGGACGCGTTGAAGAGTCTGGGAGACTGGCGTCGTAGCTCTGCCCACGTCTGCGCCGCCTGCTGCTCCACGGTCGGGTCTGGGTGCGACCGCCGGTTGAAGCGGTGTGAGAGACGCACGCGCACCTGCTCCGCCGCCAGCGGAGACTCGAAGCTCTGCACGGAGAAGCTCATGAGGCGCCGCAGGGGCAGCAGCATCGGCGGACTGCGGAAGAGTGATGGTCTGTAGATTACAGGAAGAAATGCGGTTACTATGTTTGTACACAAATATCAATAATGCGCAGGTTGCCAAATGCTACTCGAAAGTCGTACTCGAGATGGAAAAAGCTACTGGATCTCAGAGGTGTAGTGCGCACTTTTACCCGTACTCGATGGCGATCAACCCTTGGCCGCATTCTTCTTCAATCTAGAGACCAAAGAGAGCAAGAGAAGCGATGCAGAGCCTGTTCCACGGCGTGCGCGAGTACCTGACGCCGGTGCTGACCGAGTCATCGTTCGAGGACAAGGGGCTGCTCACTCCCGAGGAGTTCGTCAAGGCCGGGGACCTGCTCGTGTACAAATGCCCCACGTGGCGCTGGGAGAGCGGCGAGCCGAGTCTGCGCCGCTCGTACCTCCCAGCGGACAAGCAGTTCCTCGTCACGCGCAACGTGCCGTGCCGCCGCCGCGTGACGTCGCTGGATCAGAGCTACCAGACCGAAGAGGCCGTCGAGGGCGAGGACGAGTGGGTCGCCGCCTCCTCGTACGCCAACAACGAAGGCGGCGCCGGCGCCGACGCCGTCACGGACCTGAGCGACGAGATGGGCGACATCTCGCTCTCAGACAAGCCCAAGAAGCAGCAGAGCCAGGCAGGAGGAATCCTGGGCGCCATCGTGGACGAGCACTTCGTGGACGGCGGGGCTGCACCCTCTGCTTCTGGTGCTGCTGCGGAGCCGGAGCTGAGGGACTTGAGCTCGTACGAGGAGGAGGACAACCTCGTGGAGGATGACGAGGCCGCGCTCGGCCCCGCAGCAGGCAGCTACCTCGTGGCTAGTGAGCCTGACGACGCGGACGACGCCATCCTGCGCACCCGCACGTACGACCTGTCCATCACGTACGACAAGTACTACCAGACGCCGCGCGTGTGGCTCTTTGGCTACGACGAGCGCAACGCGCCGCTGAGCGGCGACCAGATGTTCGAGGACATTATGCAGGACTACGCCAACCGCACCGTGACCATGGAGCCGCACCCGCACCGCAGCTCGCTCGTGCACGCGTCCATCCACCCGTGCCAGCACGGCGCAGTCATGAAGCGCATCATTGCCAACCTGAAAGCGCGCAAGCCAGGCGACAAGGAGACGGAGGAGCAGCTGGCCAACGAGATCCGCAGCGACCAGTACCTCTTCCTCTTCCTCAAGTTCATTCAATCAGTCATTCCTACTATCGACTATGACTACACGATCGAAGTGAACGCCAAGCAGTGAAGGAAGCTTCGTTAAAAGTTGGTTCGTTATCCGAACAAAAAATCATATTCAGCGGCAATGAGGCTGACCTACTAAATAGAGCAGCTTGATTGAACGCTACTATTACATGTATGTATGCACTGACGTCAGCGTTTTGCGGATAGCTACCGAGGTTCTCCCGGTATTGTAGGCTGTTGTCTACGAAAAGAAAATAATCGATCGGATATGACCTGCTGATCGACACCATTACAGAGCGCAATCAACTCTATCTCCACCGAGCCATCGCATTTACCACGACCGTAGGTTACTTTACCTGTCGAAGCAAGTTTTAGGTGTCGCCAGTAGACCGTCGGAACAGCACGACAGAGCAACTCGAGTCGCAGTCCATGCCCACGCGACAGTGAAAAACGATTCCTGGCGAAATAAAGCAAGTCAAGTTGCATGATAGAAGCAACACAACGTTTGCCTAACCAGTTATCAGCATTTCGCTATAAAATTGTGAAAGTGGTTGTAAACGAGAGCAGATTAACGATCTAACTTGCGTCAGGTTTACGAGGATTGGTATTTGAATTTGAAGCTCTCGACTCAGCTCTTTGAGCGTAAACCTTTTTTAGCACGTCTACATCCGAATATTACATACATTATACATGTAGTAGGGTCGCCAAAAAAGCTGAGCGGGCATCTGAACTAAACAAAAGTACGGCGCCATAATTCCCCTCACCAAGAATGGTTTCCGTTTCACTGGCAGAACTTATATTTTGACAGATCGAGCGCCCGTCGCGGCGTTACACTCTGTCCTCCGTAGAACGATTTTTTGGATACCGTCGCTTCAAGCTGAACGATTTCTCATTGTGAGGAGGAAGAGAGAAGAGAACTGGACGGACGGGCAGCGCCGCGGCGGCATCTCTAGACCACCGCCAAGTCCAAGCCGAAGCCCTACGCTGCCATGGTGTTCGTGACGCTCAAATACATCATCATCGGGGACTCGGAGGTGGGCAAGTCGTCGCTGCTGCTGCAGTTCACGGAGCAGCACTTCCAGCCCATCCACGACCTGACCATCGGCGTCGAGTTCGGGGCCAAGCTGCTCGAGGTGGACGGGCGCAAGGTGAAGCTCGAGATCTGGGACACGGCCGGCCAGGAGACCTTCCTCTCCATCACGCGCAGCTACTACCGGGGCGCGGACGGCGCGCTGCTCGTGTACGACGTGAGCCGCCGCGAGAGCTTCGAGCACCTGGGCCGCTGGCTGCAGGAGTGCCACCAGAACTGCCACAACGACGAGGTCGAGATCATGGTCGTGGGCATGAAGTGCGACGTGGACGAGCGCCAGCGGGAGGTCTCGGAGGACGAGGGCCGCAACTGGGCTGCCGCCCACGGACTCTACTTCATCGAGGCCTCGGCCAAGACGGCGCTCAACGTCGAGCAGGCCTTCGCGCTCACGGCCACGACCATCCTGCGCAACTTTGACTACTCCAACCACCAAGTGCGCAAGGCCTCGGGCGCCAGTCGCGTGTCCATAGAGGCCCCGGCCGAGCACAAACAGACCAAGTCCGAGTGCTGCGGCAGCGGCTGAGAGAGATATGGCGTCGCTAGGAACACAAGGAGCCTCGTTGAGTGAGGCCAGGTAGGTATCTCGTCACTCGTCACCCGTGAGGAGAGAGAGCAAAGCAAAGCGTTGTGTGTTATGTATCTCTATCACTATGAGCTGACGCCGAGCCGAGCGGCTGACGCAACAAGAACGAGGAGGTGGAGCTATGAAGTCTGTCGGTTTGTGTGTGTTGTGTTACCGTCTGCGGTCGAGAGACTAGAGCACTTCCGTCCGCTCGGTCGCTGCTGCGTTGTCCAGGAGCTCCTGCACCCACTCGCCCACGAGGTTGTTGCCCGTGGCCAAGTAGTGCGCGTAGTGCGTGTGCAGGCACTTGACGTTCGTGTACTCGCGGATGCCGGCGATGCCCACGTCGCGCAGGAAGAACTCCCACCGGCGGCCCTTGACCAGCTCCAGGTCATGCGCCGTCATCATGCGCCAACGCTGCTCCGCGTACTCGCGGTGGCTCTCCTTCATCCGCTATAATAGTCACAACAGAGGTCAGTCACTGGGCCAGAGGTGAGGAGACATCGACTGACGCATGCATGCACGCACCTGCTTGGCCGCTTCGTCGGCGTCCAGTCGATGCTGCAGCGTCAGCACGAACTGCTGGTCCTCGAGCGCGGACACGCGCGCCTTGAGCTCCGTGGAGGCCAGCCAGTAGATGGTCGGGAAGGGCTCCACCTTGGCGCGCTGTTTCTTCTTGTACGCGTCCTCGGCGCTGCGCAGCGGGTAGAGCAGCAGCGTGGCTGGCCGCTGGTCCGCCGACCCGCGCACGCGCGACGTGCGGCCACTGCCGTCACCCGCCACGAAGGCGGCCACCTTGACCAGGTTGTTGGGCACGTAGCCCAGCTCCTCACGCACCTGCGCCACGTCCGCGGCAGGCGCCTCGCAGGGCACGCCCTCGTGCACGACTTCCTTAGTCTCAGCCATGTTGCCTTTTGACCTTGACCGGTACTGGTGACGCTGAGCCCATACAAATACCAAGTGTGTCATGCATCCGCCAATCAAAACGCCATCGAACTTAATCTACATACCACGAACTTAACGCGAAGGCGCGAAAAGACGCGATCCTTGATATGCCTACACTTGGTCATCAAAAACACTTGCCAACTTGTGTGGCCAGCCTCGCTGCAGGAGAAGGCAGAGCGAGAAGGCAGAGCGAGAAGCCGAGCTCGAGAAGCTGCGCAGCCACGAGTTCGAGAGCAACAACCCTGAGTTGTGCTACCAATTCAGCACTAGCGCTCACAAGAGGAGAAAGGGCTCACCGCTGAGCGTGCGTTGGCGATAGTCAGATGGTAAACAGAGCGATTGGCCTCCACGCTGTGACAGGGGCGATCCACAGCTTCGTGCACCAGCTTCAGAACGTGAACTGCGGCACGCGCGATATTCATGGGTGTGGCCCCGCAGGGACCACGCCCTTGAATCACGCGGGCCGCAGATCGCCCCTGTCACAGCAAGTGGTATCAGTACGAGCACCAGCATTTTACACCACAGGTGTTCCCAGCTAAGTCGAAGACCTAGCGATGTGCATTTCCTGCTTCAGTCTGTCTTGCTGCAAGTTGCCGTTCTGGCTGGTGTAGCACGAAGGTTGCGCCAGGTTACGCTTACGCTTACGGTCACGTAATTTATCCGTTCGGAGCAGTCCACCCCCTCATTCTTCGGGTGTTCCCAGTACTAGAGCCTCGTATCGTATGCAATCCTTCCTTCGTAGTAACTTATCTAGCACGTGAATCGATTTCCTCTTGAATGTTCGACGAACATTGTTCGTAGATATTATATGCGGGTGGTTGAATCGGTTGATTGGGATCCACTTTCTATCGAATACGAGGTTTGGTTAATTTCCATTGAGAACATCTGTAGCCCTCGGATATATCAATTCGCAGTTCGAAGAACTGTCGTGTGGGGAAAGTTTTCGGATGTCATCGAATGACATTCACGCTTCCCCCCCCCCAGCGGATGACATCATCCAACATTCACAGAACATCATACAGCACTCGACCGAATCCGGTCTGACACTTACAGGTTTTGATAGATGCCGACTACTACGACGAACAACGAATTGTATATTAGCAAGAATTGTATTGTTTCGACCAATAAGAGATATTGGTGCGAATGATGCTGACCTTGGGCACAACTGGTGCCATTACCACATCACTGCATCGTATATACTATCCATGCAGCTTCAAAACACTCAACTTACTCATTCCATTAGCGTTAAAATTATCGATTCGATCTGTTATAAGCCATAACTTATACCATTTAAACCCTCCTCTTTCAGACACAGATTTCCTTTCTGATGCATAGTTTCTCAATTGTGTGAGCCCCCACACTAGCCCGGGTGGATTAGATAAGACATTCCACTGAAACTTAAAGATATGTTATCCAAAGCAAACTGTATCCGCCGGCAACGCGGTGACGTCCTATACGGTGGCGAACGAAATCAGTTAGCGGAGAATCAAAAAGAGCTGCACCTGGCGGTATGTTCTCTCCTGAGAAAGGCTAAAAGCTAGTGCAAAAGAATGACGACCGTGTATGAAATCGGGAAAAGTCTAGTTCAATTTAATCGAGCTATGAGTGGCTCGTGTGGGGCCATTAAAAAGCCAGGGCTACACTCGCTTAGGCATTTTATCTACGAAGACTTTGAGTGAATTAAGCTTGCCTTGTGTGAGAGTACATTGCGACTCGCAGAGATCCACCCGGACCATTTAATACTGGCGGTGTAGAATGATCTACTACTTGATCCAAAGCACATTCGAAGTACATTGTTACCAATATTAGTCCAGATCATCCTAATGCTACATGAATACGGTACGTTCAGTTTAATACTTGATAAATGGCAATAACACGAGTTTCAAGTTTGATAAGTCAAAACTGAGGTCTAGCAGATCTCGATTGCGTGTAGGAGTACGATACACCGGGTGTTCGTCCTTCGCTTCGACGCTGTCCGCCCGGGCTCCCTTTCGGCCAGGAGTCCGGGGCGTACAGCGACGACGAAGGAGCATTACAAGTCTATTTGATAAAACATTGCGCAGCCGCACACCTATTTCGTCCGAATCGCGTGAATATCTAACAACAACAAAACCTGTCAGCTTCGACTCGTCGAAATAGGTGTGCGGCTGCGCAATGTTTTATCAAATAGACTTGTAAGGGAAAACGCCAAAAGGTGTGAAACGTTTGTCAACAGGTGTAGTGGTCGTGGGCGTCACGTCGCGTCATATCTCTCATCATGCATGTACTGACACACGTTTTGGTTGCCGCGGTGTTTCGGCCGAGGTCGGGTCATACAGACCCAGGATCGAGCCTTCCAAGCACAGTAGTTTATTAACGACACGCTCGTAGCGAACACGGTCAACTAATAATATCATGCAGAGCAACTGGACTCGACAACTTCGCTATTGTAAGGCACAACCAACGCAAACCGCAAGCGTATATAGCGTGGCTATACTAGGTAGGTTTTGCATCTGAATTTCGGAGGTGAAGGAGCTCTAGTGAGAGCCCCCAACCGGGGGAGAGTGTAGGTGTGTAGGTGTTGTAGAACTGTGGCAACGCTGAGGCCTGGCTACAATGGATAGCGACGTTCGTTGTAGTCCCTCAGCCATACAATTAGCTATCAAAGTCATGGACACCACGAACCGGGCTAGTTGCATCAGGTAGAAGCCTTCCTAACTCCGGGTTTTATGGATTTGGATCTAAGCCCACACATCAGTCACTGCATTCGTTGCTGATGCAGCTTTATCATGCACCTTAATGCGCTTGAAACCACATACACTTACTGTCATACCGACAAACTAGCATACACCTAATGACACGAGTTAACCGCTTTTGACAAACGTTTCGAATTCATACACCTTTTGACGTTTTCCCGACTTGCTGGCAGCACTAAATATTCGAATGCACGTTTTTTGTGTGTTGCTATCGCCATCTGTAAGTTTCCGAGCACAACACCACAACCTAAGAAAGAAAGGATTCTGCCTGGACATCAGTGCACATTCCAGTGGCAGAAAGGAAGGAAGGAAGGAAATTACGTTGATTAGCTAGTTGTAGGTAACCATTTCTGCGTACTACAACATGAACTAAAGTTAAAACTATTTTCGTGGAGTCCTGCTCCAACGAGCAGGAAGAGGTAGAATCACCACGGTGGGTTTGTCAATCCCAAGCGTTCAAGTACCAATTCGTTGGAGTGGCGATATATGGACTGGCAAAAGAAGCGATCAAACTTGATACACTTGGTTGTACAATGGTAAATTTGGCAGATGCTGATGCTGCGAAGCAGGCGCAGGAGATGGAGTACATCGTTTCCCAGTAAGGGTAACCGTACAAGCTAGCTTCGAACTGCGAAACCCCCCGGGTCCACCACCCGAGTCCCCAACTTTAATTTTAAAAAATCATATGCAGCAAGAATTTGTGCGACTATCCTGAGATCGTACTTAATCGAAGTGGTGTGCGACTTTTGACTCGCCAACGACAAGTCAAGTGATGTTGTCGACCACCTTGGTACGCTGCTCGCGCGCTAAAAGCCCGAAGTCGACGGGCGAAGAAGGCCATGAACCCTTTCACTCCCCCCAGCCACAGTGGATGAACTACACCTTTGCCCACTCAAGTTCGCGGCAGTGTCCAGCAACTTCGTGTGAAGTAACTGTAGTAACGCCTATATTTAGAGAAAAAATATGAATTTTGGATTTACGCCAAAGTGGATTTAGTACAGGGAAAATTGGTGGTCAGTATATCCTAGCGGCACCATGCCGAAGGAGCCGAAGCACACGCTCGCCGCTCGCGCGCCCGTCCTTGATGCTCATCTAGAAGGTGGGGACTGGATGCTGGTAGCGCACCACAATGGTATCCCTCCCTCTACCGCGCGTAATATTGTCGAGCGGGGGACACCAGAGCTAAACAAGGGAGGCGGGGCGCGCGCGGCCATCACCAAGTGCACGCCGGAGATGGAGGGCGCGCTGGTAGACTACCTCGAAGAGAACTGTCAGTATACGCTCTCGCAAATGCGTGATATGCTGTTCTGTGACTTTGGCGTCCTCGGTTAGAGTCGAACCAGAAACGTGCAATAACGCAGAGAACATTGAGAAGAGCAGAGTGTTTGGAGAAGCGCTTCTAAAACACGAGCGGGAGGGCCCATTTATTGTGTACTACGACGAGACCAATTACAATCTTTGTTGTAAACGGTCCCAGGGGCGGGCGCCAATCGGAAAGCGTGCTGTGGTGACGCTTCCGCCGTCAAAAGGCGCTAACCTGCAGCTTCAGTGTGCTGTCTCGCCTGAGGTTGGGCTAGTGCATAATGCACTATCGTAATGCACTGTGCATTACGAGAAGAAGCGTGGAAGCATCAAGATGGATGTTAATGTAGGCTTTATGGACTCCACCTATGACGCTGTCAAGCAGCACGATGTCTACAAGGAGCACTTCGTGGGGAAAAAAATCGTGGTGATCTTAGACAACGCACCTGCCCACAATCAGACCGAGAATCGCGTCCGCGATCGATGTGATCTGGTGCTGCTTCGGCTGGCCCCTATTCTCCAATGTGCAATCCCATCGAAGGTACGTGAACTTACATTACATCTTATTCTGTGTGTGCTCCAACAAGCTGTGTTTACCTACAATTGGCAGGCTGTTTCAGCACCTCGAAAGCACGCATCAAAGCTTATCTTGCGCTCAGCCACGCGGAGATGATGAATGTTCCCGACGGTCAGAAGACCGAGCTGCGAATGCAGCTACTCGAGAAGGCAGCCAAGCATGCGATGACATGTATGGATCTCCGTCTGGTCAACAAGATGGCTCGCCACTGTGCGCTGTCTGTGGCGGCCGCGATCCGCGGCGAGCCCATGGAGTACGGGACTTAGCTGTGGACTAAATCCACTTTGGAGTATATGCCAAAATGTTAGTTTAGTTTTTTTAATTTAATTGCAAATTTTGGCTCACAT